GGTGATCTACCAATTTCTCAAATCATGGTCGACAACTAAAGATCCTAGGACTACGCAAATCAAGTATTTTCTTTTATTTTAAGTATTTTGAGCATGGTTATTATTCAAGTTCCTATTTTTGTTTTTCAATTTATGATAATTAAACTTGATATGCCCAATTTCCTTACAATAAAAACAGGTTTTTAAAATTTATTTTGATTTTAAAAATTTATCTCATTTCCCTTATACTTATTATTGTTTTGATTATTATAAGGTTTCTTGGGGATATGAGAAGACAAACTTTGGGCAAAGTGGAACTCATTTGATTTCTTTATCATTCTCCTCTCAGCTTCAATACTAAGGTGTATGGGAATATTAAACATAGATATCCCTTATGCAGAATAGTTTGATGCAATTACAACAAGCCCCAAGACGGAGGGAGACTGTTAAGGACGATGGACACTTGCAGACGATCAAGGACTGGATTCCAGGCTTCAGCAAAGTCCTTTGCAAGCACTGTCATTTTATTGACATGCTAGGTCATTGAGTCTGATTATTTCATTTTGCAATAATTATATTTTTCTAATAACAATTGTACATGGGTTTTAGAAGTGGTTCCATACTTTTTAGATAGGGCATACATCATACTTTGAGCTGTAGTGTGATCCTCAAAGACTCTAATTAAATCATCTTCCATAAAACTCAACATAGTAGTCCTAGCTACTTTGTCATTTTCTAACCATTTTTCAATTTGCCTTCTAGCTTGACCATTGACATTAGGTTCTAAAATTGGTGGTTCTATATCTAGAACATAGTCTACCCTATCTTGGAAGAGAATATATCAAAATTTTCTTTTCCACATAAAAATATTAGTTCAATTGAGATTTTCAAGTTTGGATAGTTCTGACATGATTAGCTTAGATGTCATTTTACATTTTTGATAATATCTAAAAGTTCAAAAAATTCAATTGTGTTTAAGAACAAGATGTCTGCTCGTCAAATCAATATGTTGCCAACTTTGTATGGCCAGTGATTTCAATGAAGAATTCTCTTAAAAGATTTATGTTCACACTGCTGTGAGGCAAAAAAATCAAAAAGTAAGGCAACAGTCTACTTTATGTAATTCTTGCATAAGACTAATTTTCATAAATATATGTTTTAGCTCTAGAGAGAATCTACAATGATATTTAATATTTTTCAACAAAAATAAGGCATAACATATATCACAAAAAATGATTTCACAAAATCAAGATCATTAAATTTTCTTACTTAAAACGACCAAAGCATAGAATAATTATGCAATGCAATGATAATTAGTATGCAAATAAAATATGTAGAAAATCCTTAAATTATAAGCCACAAAAAAAATGCATGCAATTGATATGTCGGCCTTTACTAGAATAGTTGTTGTGTGCATAACAATTTTCAATAATTCAATAAAAATATGCACTAATTTTCAGCAACAATAGATGGAAGAAAAATGATGCAAGCTAACTGATTTTCAGCAGTTCATGGTCAATAAAGAGTATATAACAGTAAGGAAATTTAGATTCTCACTACTCAAGAAAAGCAAGTATGGGTGCTCAGCTACCGTGCACAGAGTAGAAGAATTTTGGGCAGTCTTTACAATTTTTCCTTTTTTAATTGTTATGCACTTCACCTTTGACCTATAATAGCCTTGGTGTCAACAGTCATTCTAATGCCATTCAACAACAAAGGTAAGGGCGCCTTTTTGCAAGGAGGCGATCAAAATATAAAATAAAATAACTATTGGGCTACTCGGTGGTAGGATGAAAGAAAATAAAGTTTCTTCTTTATCTTGTTTTAATACTATTATTTGTCCTATATGAATGGGGTGAATATGGTGATAAAATTCAGTTGAAAAGTCAATACTTGGGCTGAGGAATTTTTACCATCTATGTATGTCCAATAGAGGAAAAATTGGGAAGATAAATACTTTAATTGGGTAGATAAGATTTTTACCCTCTATATGCATCCAAGAGAGGAAAAATTGAGAAGATAAGTATTTTAATTGGGGAGATAAGCACCTGATTTCTTCAGCATTATCAGGTAAATAAAAATTGTGGCGGACCTTTATGAGAGAGAAGAGAAATTTTATTTTCACTGAAATTTACTGCAATACAGTGAATTTATGTTTACCCTTCTTGCCTTTTGACTAATGAGGAAACCACGAATGCTTAACAAGGTAACCGTGGAAATCTTAAAGGATGGTGAGAGGGAAAAGAAATGACCGCATAGGCAAGGAGCCCATAAACAAAAAATCTCAGCAGCACAAGTTAAACATGAAAATAATATCAAGAGAGCAATGATAAATAAATAAATAAATCAGTAATGGAACCTTGTTCTGATACCAATGTTGGACTATTGATGAGAAGATGATGAAAATAATACCAAGCTCCCATGATTAATGGCAATGTTGTAAGATGGATCATAGAGGTCGAGTTATACCAGAACAAGGAGAACTTTATATTTTGTTTTGTACCTCCCTTCTTAATGAGGGATGCGAGGAGGCAGTTCTCCAATGTTCAGTTTCCTCAATGAAGATAAAGAGAGAGAAAAATATGAAAATAAAGAGAGAGAAGGCTTTCTCAATGAAGATAAAGAGAGAGAAAAATATAAAAATAAAGAGAGAAAAATATGGCACGTTTAAAGGCCCCATGCGCACCCACATGTACCAACACTTTGAATATATTATATAGGAATGCGTGCTCTTAAATATAGCTTAACAAACTCTCTTATCTTCAATGTAGGACTCAAACCCACATCCTTCTCTCTCTACCAAATAATTTGGGAAAAAACAATAAAATCAAAAGCAAAGCAATTTATGAAAGAATAAACTATAAGATTGTTTTGAAATACATATAAGTATTTTTTAATACCAAAAATACTAAAAAATACTAGCATGATATACTGCAACTTCAGACAAAATATTTTATTTACATAAATAAAGTACTCTTTTAATATATGACAGTACTTATTTTTTATTTTATTATTTAGCTTCAGTCTTGTTTTATTATTATCAAGAATAAATATTAGCAAAAATCACATTTTATTTTAGTGAAATTTCTAAATGTTTAACCATATTTTTTGATACATTTCTTAGGTTCCATTTTCTTAATTTATGGAGAAATATCTGAAATTTTCAAGAATTTTCTAAAAATAGAGAAAAGGTATTTCTAATTGGAAATAAACTCTTGATAATTCTAACTTTCCTCCTCAATGACTCTAAAAGAAAAATACAACAAAATAATAATAATAATAATAATAATAATAATAATAATAATAATAATAATAATAATAATAATAATAATAATGATATGTCAAAATCAAATGAACAAGAAAATAATAATAATAATAAGTAGGTCAAAATCAAATGAAATAAGAAAAAAATGTAGTTTTCTTTCAATTGTCTAGTTTAATGTGCATTGATATAGATAACAATTGCAGATTTCCTCAAGAGCCCAAATGATAGCATAATTTTCTTGTTAGTTTAGATGAACCCTAGCTAGAGAGTAGGCCTCTTGAATATGGCAGTGAGTCTTTCCTCTCTGCATCGAACTGGAACCAAACATCAAATTAGCCACAACTTAAATGTTAAAGCCCTTCAAAACTTTGAATTTATGTAATTATTTTATGCAACTACAAAAAAAATTTTATGCATGCAACGCACCTAATCCAACTAATATATCCATAAGCCTCCTTAACTCCCATGGCTACCATCGGCCCAAAACCCATCTCTACTGCAACTTAGCACCCAATAGATATTATTAGGTTACCCATAAAAAACATGATTGCTGGCCCTAAACCATCATTTGACCTCGCAAATTTGATGATCAACATAGAATTGATATTAATAAATTGAATTCAAGAACAAAATGCATATAAGAAACTAATAATAAACAACAAAATGCGTAAAAAAACCTAGAAATAGACTGAGGGAGAACATCGTCTTCTCACACAAAATAATCATAAAGGTGTCTATTAAAAAAATGAAAAAGGTAAAGCCACATAGCTACAAAGAGTGTCTTCCTGCTACTACATTTTTAAACATGATAATTATATCTAAAGGTAACACTCAAAAAAGAAAAAACAAGCAATATATAAAAGATGTAGTTTCTATAAGACCTAGGCTTCATGAAATATAAGTAAAGCCTCATCTTGAATCCTCATAAAAACATTGGGCATCATAAATCTTCATGATTGAACTAAAATCACTTACCAACACCAATTATGAAATTTGAAGCTAAAAAAATAATGCAAATCTTTTAGATCCGTAAACAACCATTTTTAGGGCGAAATGGACAGTCTAGATAATGAATTACAATATACACTATTTTTAATGCTTGAATTCCTAATTATTTTTTTACAATCATAATGGTCAATTCAAGATGTTCGATGTAAGTTTTCTGATGCCAGATCTACAATTTTCAATGAGTTGCAGGGTGAGGCTTTACTCATTTTGACAGCCCTATCAAACTATTTTCCATATATAAATAAAATCAATAAATCAACGGAAAACTTTATACAGAGCCGATGTTCTAAACAATCAAATTAGAGCCTATCTCAAAATTTTCACTAGAAGAGGGTTTTTTTTTTTATGCTTAAATATCTTCAAATTGATCATCTCGACATCAAGATGCATGGACATGAAAAAAAAAATAGATTCCCAGTTTTGGAAATAGTGTATTTTATAATGTATTTTTGGACTGTCAATTTTTAAGATTTTTAAATTTTCATAGATATCTACACTATTTTTGAAGCTTTAAAATTTATAAATAACTATGAAAATATATTTTAAGGCTATCACAAATATTTTCATTATTAAAACTATATTTCTCGATACTATTTGAATGTAGGCTCTAATTTGATTGTTTAGAGCCTAGGCTCTATACAAACTGCACCCATAAATCAAAGATATCTCCGGAATTTTTAAAATGTTAAGGATCATTTCAGTGATTCTGCCCTTTAATATAAGGTGACAGAAAACCTTTCAACCATTTAGGACTTTGGGCACGGCTCCTGTGGTGCTGGTCCGACTCACTGCAGCTAATTTCCAGAGACTTTCATCTGCAAACCCTAATTTTCTCTCTCTTTCCTTCTGATACCTGCACTTTCTCTCTTCTGGTACGCTCTCTCCTCCAACCTTTGTAATGTATTCTGCTTTCTTCTGCCCATTACACTGTGAAAAACCCTAACTTCTTGTTTCTTTGTTGTTGTGGAGTTGTAATCTGTAGCAAACTACAATAACCCGTGGCATTTTTTGGGTTCTTGAGTGATTATTGTATTGTATTACCAGATTAATTTACGGTTTTCATGTATGAATTTTGCTATTATTGCATGATACGGATCTATAAGTGACGCTTTATTCACTTTCAAGTGTCCGTGTTTGTGTTAAGCGTGTTTCGGAGTGGTAACCCTGCCTATATTTTTCACAATTGTCTGATTCAAAGGTAGAAGCTGAATCACTTTGGTACTGAGATACCATTCCATACCTGTCAAGCTTTTTATGGATGGAAGACCTATTATGTAGAGAGAGAGATAAAAAAGAGCAGAAAGTTGAAGCAACTGTAGATGTTTAGTCAATTTTGAATTACTGGTGATTACTGTGCTTTGGCTTTCATGATTGTTTGATTGTATGAGGAAAACTGAAATTTTGTTGGTATTGTGATATTTTTTCTTTGTTTGTGTTTTGAGATGTAATTCTGCATTTTTTTAGCTTTTCTATGAATGAAAAAAATATTTACAAAAATAGAAATAGGAAGTTGAAGAATTTGCTACTTGTTTAATCCAATTGTATCACTGATGATTATTTATTGGTATTGTAGGAAACATGAGTGGCCGGGCCAGTAGGACCCTCTATGTTGGCAATTTACCAGGAGACATTCGTGAAAGAGAAGTTGAAGATTTATTCTATAAGGTGTTGTCTCTTTTCATCATGTTTGTTATTCATAAAAATTATTCTGGGTTTGATTTTATATCCATTCCCAGTGAGGGATTTTTGTTGTTTGTTTTTATTTATGTCATAGTTAATGACGTTTAAAAAAATTCATTTCGCTTTTCCTTGTTTTTTTTGTTGGGGTCCTACCAACTTTAGGATGCTGTCTTCGGGGCTTCATTAGGATGATGGGCCCTTTTTTGCAGAGTCAGTTGTTGTTATGTACTACAATATTTCCTCTAGTTTTATTTCTAGTTTTTTCTTTCCTTTTTCACCTTTTTTTGGGTTTGTCGGTGTTTAAATGTAGTGACTAGACTCTTCTATGGAGCAGCTATATCTTTGGCATGTATTTGAATGGACTGCAATTTGTATTGCATTTGCATTTTGAGATATTATCTTTATTTTTCTTCCTATGAAAAGATGGAAAAAGTAAACATGTGTTGTCTTTATTGTTCTTATTTCTTAATGGTTACTGTTTCCAAACAGTATGGTCCAATTGTTGATATTGAATTGAAGATTCCCCCCAGGCCCCCTGGCTACTGTTTTATTGAGGTATGATCTGTTATGTCAACTGTGATTTCAACGATCTTGTTGTTTCCCCGGCCTAGCTTCAAGGCCATCTCTAATGCCCTACTTTATCTTGTATGTTATTTCAGTTTGAAGATGCTCGTGATGCTGAAGATGCTATCCGCGGTCGTGATGGTTACAACTTTGATGGCCACCGGCTAAGGGTAGGCAGCATGCTGACTAAGTTTATTGTTGCTTGACTTTACTGTAATATTAATAAAGTGTATTTTATTCAAGATCGGAAGGAGGAATCTCTATTCAAATTTGTATTATTAGATTAATATTTGTGCATCTCTTTGCTTGTCTTGAGTCAAGGTCTATAGCTTTCAATTCTTTTGCTTTTGTAGGTAGAACTTGCCCATGGGGGTCGGAACCATTCTTCATCTTCAGATCGCTATGGTGGTAGCTATGGTGGTGGGCGTGGACTTTCAAGGCGCTCTGAATATAGAGGTACACCTAAGGAATTATTTTTAATTATGCACTAAACTGATTTCTTTTTTATTTGTATTAATTTGTAAATATTTCTGTGCCTTCCATGGTTTTCTTTCTTGTAATGAGTTTGATTCTTGGAATTTTGCAGTGCTTGTAACTGGGTTGCCGTCAGCTGCTTCATGGCAAGACTTGAAAGTATGTGTGTTAAGATTTTATCGTATTTTGATGGTCCTCCATCAGTGGTCTTGAGTGTGAGTTGAATGGTTTCAGGATCATATGCGTCGGGCTGGTGATGTTTGCTTTTCTCAAGTGTTTCGTGATGGCAGTGGTAAGTCTTTTCCTCTTCCTATCCTGCATCATGTCTAGAATATTGTGCTGAGATTAACTTATCCTACTTTCTAGGGTGTATTGGAAAGCATAATTTTGATGCCAATGAGTGGGTTTCATTAGCATCTCTGCATCTGCCTAATTAGCTAGAACTGTTGAGAAATGTGACTGTTGTATCGGAAAACATATTTCATTTTAAATTGAGCTTCTTTTGTCCTTTTTTCCTGTGGAAGGTTCTGGTCACCTATATGTAACTAGTTAGTTGAGAGCATCAAAGTTCTAAGGCATTTTTTTTTTTTCTTGTTAATTTTTTTTTTGCCAAGAAAGAAGCTCAATCTGATGAGTGGTTTTTACTGGAAATTGCTTCACTTCCTGCATTTCTTGGCTTATATGGTTTTTAGTTTACCAAATAAAGCAGGGGAGACCTGCCAAACACATATATGCAAGGTACAAGTAATTCCATATAAGCCAAGAAATGCGGGAAGTGAAGCAATTTCCAGTAAAAACCGGTCATCAGATTGAGCTTCTTTCTTGGCAAAAAAAAAACTAACAAGAATAAAAAATGCCTTACACTTTTGATGCTCTCAACTAACTAGATAATATAGGTGCCCAGAACTGATGATCATTGTAAATAAAGAGGAAAACAGATGGTCTTGATGATTGTGCATGCTAGATTCACCTAAAGCCTTCTAAAGCCAAGCATTATATATACTGCATTGCATGAATGTGAAATACTTCTGAATTTCCGACAATGCATTATATATACTGTGGTGCATGATTGTGCATGTTAAAGCCACCTAAGGCAAAGCATTATATACATTGCATTGCATGAATGTGAAATACTTCTGAATTTAAGATAATTTGGATGTTTGCACCAATTGTTCTATTTTTGTGCGATTCTCAGTTCTTTGGAACTTATGCCTCATGTTATTTTCGCATATCTTGTTCTTTTCTTCGTTGGTTTTCTTTCGCATATCTTGTTCTTTTCTTCTTTGGTTTTCTTGTGTTTCTGTAGCAATCCTGTGTGTCATGAGGAAAGTCGAGTAGGTATCTCAGTGATTACAATCCAATTCCTGAGTATGCATTTGCCCTAATTTCTATATGATGTCTAGGGAGCAGCGTAACAAGAATTAGATGGGGTTCAAATATAAATGGCCCCTTGTGTGTTAAGTGTTTGACCTGATTGTAATACTTAATAGCTGGCCATTTGAAAGCCATCAAAGGCAGGGAATAGCTGGTAAAAGCCTTTGCTAGCCAGTTTGTTTGAAGACATCTGGGCCACCATTGATACTGTGTTTGGGTTGTTGTCTTAATATGCTCTTTGCAAAGTTAAAAATAGAACTCTTTTAAGTAGTCTTATTTCTTTTATTGTCCGAGCTCCAGATGTCTAATTTAGTTCTATGGTTTGCAGGCACAACTGGTATCGTGGACTACACAAACTATGATGACATGAAATATGCGGTCGGTTGTTTTGCTTGCTTATTTTCTTTTATCACTAATGAAGCAAGTTCTATTCCATATTATTCATGTTAGCTACCTTTGCATCTCCGTGTTTGTTATATGTGTTTTCTGACATATTTCTGCCTCATTGTTTATCGTGAGAAACTTGTTGGAATTATATAAATCAGTGATTCAAATGATATTCATGGTCTGTTGCAAGCAGATAAGGAAACTTGATGACTCTGAGTTCAGAAATGCATTTTCTCGGGCTTACATACGGGTAAAATTCCTTTCAGCTATTGAATTTTAGTTACACTTTTGGCTTTCTTCACCAATTGTTGTAGCACCTTTGCTTTTTGGTACACCTGCAGTCACCAAACTAGTCTCCAATGACAGTAAAATATGTAACCTTTTGTATTGAATAGCAAGAAGAGTAAGTGGTGGCTATTGATCTGACACGGGGCAGTATTGAGTATCTTTTCCTGAGACGACAGAAAATTTGCATGTCTGCAGTAGATGTACAAGCCTGTGGATGCATCTCGTTTTTATGTTTTTAATCAGACAAAGTTATTTGTGGCCTGTTTGGATGACAGTTATTTTATCTGGAATGCATAATCTTATATGAAATTTAATATATGCTGGATAGAATTATTTTGTTAGCCGTTTGGTACATATATTATTAAAATATTTCATTTTCCAATGATTCCTATCTATTTTTAGTTATTTCTGGCGAAGAACATGTGATGTTCAGCAAATTTATTTGAATATAGTAAAAATAGCTTTTCAAAAAGATAAACTTATATGTAAAGCTGCCTATAAGTTTATCTCAAATAACTTTAGAATGGGCGCAGCTAAACAACAGATAACTCACTATTAGGATTAACTTTATTGAAACAGTGCATTATCGATGATAACCATTATATTAAAACAGGCCATCTATGTATTTATGCATGTCATGAGTTGATCTCTAGTTATGTGACATGGATGCATACACATGCATGTCAAACATATCATATTTCTGATAGTTTGTTTTGTATCTACATCCCATTCCCATGGACGTGTAATAATGCATGACTAACCTCTGCTTTACATGTAATGAATTGACCACACATGGTTACATGTCCATTTGTATTGGGGGTCAAGAAGTTTGGACTACCTGTTCTACCGTTTTTTGAGTCTCCTCATGCAATGTTCTAGTATGCTACTTGTTGCATCTCTCCTGGACTTTATCTCTAGATAGATGTTTTTAAGATTCTATTAGTGTCATCCTTAAATGGGAGAGTTTACATATGGCAGTTTACCTTATTTTCAGAAAAAGTTCTATATAACAATTCCTTTGGTACAAAAAGGTCACAATCACCCCAGCTATTTGATGTGAAACCATTGGCTAGCTTGAACTCAGAAAAATTTTGTGAGCTGTGTGGAGAAATGATACACCTCAGATGTCCGATTTGACATCGAACGGCTTGGGGTGTTTGTGACCTTTGTATATAAAAGGTAATGGTCTTGTCGTATAAATCCCTTATTGCATTTGGTTTGTAGTTGTGTTATGCTTAATTGCTTTTGTTTTTTTTAGTTAGAACCCTTTGGTTATTTTTGGCCCCAGGTAAAGGAGTACAAGTCAGGGAAGAGCCTATCCCGTAGCCGCAGTCGTAGTCACTCAGTTTCAAGAAGTAGAAGCAAGAGTCCTGTTCCTAGTCGTAGCCGAAGTCCTAGTAGAAGCAGAAGTCGAAGGTTTGAAACTGTAATTTAGGGTAGTCAAGTCGCCAATTTAGTTTATTTCTAGTGATAAATAAATTTAATTCACGTTTTCATACAGCATACCCCCGAAGGCCAAATCCCTATCTAGATCTCGATCTAGGTCCATTTCATCACGTTCTCGTTCACGATCACCACCACCGCGTGTGAAAGGAAGGTACAGTTTCTGTATATTTTTCCCAATGCATTAGAAAGGATCTATTTATGTTTCAAGTGCATAATGTTTCCTATAATTGGAGGAGATTTTGTCCAATCATAGAATTTGTTGCATAAAATGTACTTTATTCTTCTTATATTCCGTTTCCATTTGACTTGCTTTTTACATGAATAGGTGGTTCTTTCTTTTTCTTTCTATCTATTTCTTGTAACGGACAAAAAAAGCTATGAAATTCATCTTGATTCATGACATTTGAAAAATTGTTTTTACGATCTCATCTTTCTCTGGCTGTCCAGTCAAATCCAATGGTTTCTTTGTTGTGCTATGAGGTAATTCTTGGTAGATGAAGTCTTTCTGCTCATTTACCTTTCCAATTTTTCATTTTATGATTTTCCATGAATACTTCATTCCCTTCTAATTTTTGGTAAATAGATTTTGTCCAAAGCTTTCTATTTGTTTAATAACTGTATGTTACAAAGTTTTAATTATTGCCTTTCTCTTTCTTTTGGGGAAGTATTGGGCCTATTATGTTGGTTGTGAGGGCCATGAGGTAGGGATGTTAATACTAATACTAAATGGGCATAGGACCATTGTGGCGAAACCATCTCAGCAGGAACATTGAACAGAATGTTACAGCTCTGGCAGCTGTGGAAGCTGGGCTGTGCTGGAGTCTAGAGTGGTCCAGTGACTTCTTCTGTGTTGTTACCATTGGGTTTGGTTTTCAGATCTTGATGATGGTGGTTACGATGGAGGGATACAGTACTGGAGTATGCGCAGTAGTAGCAGTAGTTTAAGAGGGGTTCATTTTAGAAATCTTGACAATTAGTGGAGCAGAACCTCATGCAATGTAGTACAGTAAGATGTGGAGGAGAAATGGATGTGTAGCAGTTGAACCTTCCAAATATTTGAACAATTGGAGAATATCAAGATCACGCTTTGTGATCATTCCATGGTCATAGCATCTTCGTGGGAGTAGATAGGTTGCAGAGTTATGTAGAAGCTACACAAATAGATACTGAAGAAACAAAAGGGGGTGGAGGATAGCTTTTCATTGGCCGTTTGTCTTAGCTTGTGTAAGTAGCACCATGGAAATTTCATGAACAATGGAGGGTGTTCTTATGCTGAGGCTCCTTGGGAGAGAGGTGTTTAGAGGAAGACATGGAATGCATGTGGGCAAGTTGGATTAATTCGGTGATTTGCAGTGTGGAGGATACAGGTGGAATGATGGTGTGTGGGGTTATTCGGGCATAGCTGGGGCTTTACTTTTTGCTGGGAGATAGATAGGGGGGAAAACATCTGGAATATGAGGGCAGATTTTGGTAGAGATGAGAGGCATGACACAGGAACGGTAGGAACATGATAGATACGAGGACATGTAGGATGGATGAAAAGCATTGAGTACGAGGATAAAATGGCAGTGAGTGGAACTTGGTGCACTTCAGCTCATTTTTGTGGTGATATATGGTGGATTTGTCACCGGCAAGGTACTCAGTTTGTTATTAAACGGTGTGATATTTGCATATGAGACAAGTGACACCAGTGAATTTTTGTGTTTCAAATGCATTTCTAAAGGAGTTCATCAAACTCAAATTATTTTCAGAAACTGGAAAAAAGAAATGAAACAAATTTCTTTGTATTTTTTATTTTATATATTCTCAGTAATGCTTTCTATTATGCTATGCTGGCTAGTTTGAATGGTCACCTGCTGATTGGACTGTTATGGATCAGATAAGAACTGTTTCTAGGTGCACAAGTTCCCCAATCCTTGTAGATTGATCTCATGTTGGTTGTTCTGATGAGCTTGCAACTCTTACTGCAACTTGTTGCGACCATGTCTCAAAAGCAGCCTTGTGTGATGAAGCTAATGGTCGTGGTAAGAAAAGAACATTAGCAAGAAAAGTGTATTTTGTAGGGGAAAGGTCTTGTATTATGCAGATTTATTGGGAGGAGTCAAGGGCTGCACATAGTAATATATCATAATGGACTGGTTTCTCAGTTCTAGAGTTAACTCCCAGCTGAAGAGGATAGGCCATCAGTGGGTTGATGCAATTTATAAATGTAGAATGTAGACAGCTTCCATAGCTTATATGTCTACATCACCTTTAGGGATGATTATCAGCTATCAATAGGGGTGCTTGAATTGATTTGACTGAGGTTATCAAAAAAAAAAATTGTTTAAGTCACTTCGCTTTTTTTCTGTCCAAGTGACTTCTCGTTTTGTCTAAGTCACTTCCCTTTTTCTTTGTGAATATTGGGAATATACCCATTCATAGATCAGAGATTGTCATTTATGACATTGGAAGGTCTGAATGATCAACTACCTCCCAAACTCTATGTAAAGTTGACAGTGGATTGTGAGTGCCTTGCCAGGCTGGTGGGATTGTGACTCGTTAACTTATAGGGAAATCGCGACCCAGAAATGACTTACTTTAAGAGGCCTTTAAAGAATATCACATGCTGCAAATTCCTTATTATTTTGGGAGATACTTAGTTAATTTGGATGTTGATAGTAGATTGGAATAGTTTTCCAAAACAAATAAAGGGAATGATAGTTGTGTTCAAATGTGGTAAGAATATATAACATCTATACGAATAGGAGATGAACCATGGAATTGATGGAGATGGCTTTCATTCAAAAGAGCTCTAGCAGGGTCCATGAATGGTTGTTTTTGTGCTCAACAAACTTCCGAGGAAAAAAAAGCAAATCCTATTGTGCTGTGGAGCATGGCTGGAGACTCGTCGGGTCCAATTGGACCCAGAGGCACCCAGGCCAGTTCTCACCCAGACTCGAGTGAGTCGGCCTGGGTACCCTTTATTTATTTATTTATTTCATTTTTGAGGTGGAAAAAGAGGTAAGCTATGGTTCTCTCTCTCTCTCTTTTCTTAACTAATAATATTTTAAACCTCCATTTTGATCAATTTGGATCTATCTTAAGGCCTCCAAAAAATAAATATTTTGATCCAGAATCGCAATTTGGAGAGATCCCTATACACCATTCCACCTTTCTTACTATCTCTCTCATTAAACAATCAGTTTGTCTTAAATTTGATCCAAAATGTTGGTATTGGAGCTCTCTTAAAGATTCCTATCATAATTTGTTTGATCTAAGCCCTTCTTTCCAGATATATATATATATATATATATATATATAGTTGAATTTTTTGGATTTTTTACCGAAAATAAAAACAGTTTGATTTCTCACTCAAATATTGCACCAAATCTGTTCAAATTCGTCCCAAAATGGTCCTAGGTTATTGATCTACAAATGCGATAGGAATTGTTTTTGATTAAAAACAAAAAATATCTATATCGATTTTTTGGTTCTTTTTTACTATTTTTTTCCTTCGATTTTCTTTCAAAAATGTCTTGAATTTAATTTTTATTTTGATTTTTATTTGAAAGATCATACTAGATGAACGGTTGAATGATAAAAGTTTTTGGAAAAATTCTCCTATAGATCATATTTATATTTTTTTTCTTCTTTTTTTTCCCCATATTTCTCTATTTATTACCTTTTTCAAAAGAAGTCATCGTGTTAGCTGGGGCGGCTTGCTTAGTCACACGGCCGACTCAGACCCGACAGGTTCCTGGTTTGGGGTTTGTAAACATTGCTATGTAGTGTGCATGAGATATGTTGTGTACATCCCTTGAAATTTTAATAAAATCATCAAGTTTATGAGTCATGTGCTTTCCAGTCCCCACGAGTTGAAAAAGATAAAAAGCGCTCCCTTTGCCAATTTTTCCGGAGTTTTTTTATCTTTTGCTCTATTTGTTTCAACCATTTTATTAAATGATTTAAAGAAATCAAGCAAACTGAGGATGAGCAGCCATGAAACACCCAAGTATAATGAGAATAGGAAAAACACCTCTGTATAATGAGAATATTCATCAAGGAATGTAGCAGAAGATCCGAAAAATCAATTCTTGTATTGAAGTTCCCCTCATTTATTAATGAACAAGTCCAAAGGTATCTGCTGATTCAAATTCTTTCCTTGGTAAGATGAGATAAGCGAGTGCTTTGCCAACTTATAGCTATCCTCAACCCTGTTACGAATTGAGACCTGGATCCTAATTGATCTGTAGATTCGAATAAAAGAAAAAAAGAATTGGAAACAAAGGAAAAATTTAGAAGTGATTTTGAGTCTGCAGAATTTCTTGTGTAATCATAATCTGTACTGTTAGCTTAATTTTCCTAGAGAGTTCGTGAGCAATAGACCCAGGTGCATGGACATGCATGAGTGCATCAAGATGTGCACGTAAGCATTGGCACATGATATGACTGAGTTATTGAGATTAGACATTGATCTTTTATGATAAACTTTTATGAATTCATTTCTGGGTAGATTTTTTTTGTTTTGAAGAGTCTTTTATTTACTCCATTTATTCTCTGCTATCATCACCCTCATTTGGTTTTGATGTATATAGTTAATAATTATATAACAAAGGAAAAGGATGGGAGCAAGAACCACAGATTTGAGACTACTTGAAAGTTTGTGAAAACTGACTTTTTTGTTTTTAGATGAGGCATGCGGCTTGCAAGCATATTTATGGGATTGCTTGTTTGGAAATATATGGGGATGGCTGGAATTGGATTACTTTTGATGTGTGCCTGAGGAGGTATGCTGTTGAAAAAAAAACAATAAATAAGCATGTGCTTGTAAATGTTCAGAACAATACAGACTGTTGATATATTGTGTAAATACAGTCGAATAGCTTTAAGGCAGTGACATCTAATCTCTGTTTCTTCTTTTTCCTTTCTACGTAGCCACTTAGTTGAAATTGGGTGAGCTTGAAATATGGATTTCTGGGAAAGCTTTTGGACACATCCAAGTGGAACTGGAAATCCCATTGGAACCAAATTTTTCCAGGTGGTATTAGTAAACTTACTTATGCATCATTGCGCTGCCATTGTTCATTTGAATCTAGTAATCGTGTACCCTCTTATGATTTCACAAAATATATCAAGTTTTTAGGATGTTATTCTGCAGCATGGTACACCATGAACCCTTGTATCAGGCAGTGTAATTTGTTCGAAATGATGACCTGAGGCTTGATTATCTCCTTTGGATTATGTGCAGAGGAGGTTGAAACTCCTATGCAACCATATATAGTAATAAATGGGCAGCCTTCATGGAACCCATTTCTCCCATTGATTCTTTATATTGTAAAATATGTTTCTGATATGGTTAAAAACAATGTTTTTCATGTTCATTTTACATGTGTTTTAATCAGTTTACTGGAACTCTTGGATGTGTTTATGAATGCAAGATTTTATGCCTAATTTCTCCCCTTTTTTTACATTTTTGTTTTGCAGACCTGGATCTAAGTCAAAGTCACCATCTCCCTCTGTAAGTTGGATTCATTTTCTTGTTTTTTGTAAAAAATTATGTTGTTCTTTACTATGTTTCTGATTCTGGCATTCTGTTTCCTTGAGGCACAGCGTCGGCATAAGCGAACAAGCAGTAGGAGGAGCCCCAGCAGGAGCCGCAGTATTTCGCGTTCTCGCTCCCCTGTGGTATGTACCACTTGTGAATGTTTTCTTCCTTTGGTTGTGCTTGTGAGGATTGTCCTTAATGACATGCATACGTTATTATTGCTTTTCATAGTTGCTGTAATATGCTGTTGTGCTAAAGAATTTTTTTGGTCATTGAACTCTGTTGTTATCATTGTTCACAAAATCGCCCGATCTAACCGCTAACCGCCCGGTTAGATCGGAACCGACCAATGTCGGGTTTCAGTTTTGGGTGGCTAGGGTGATCAACGGGTATTTAAAAAAAAAAAATTCAAAAAAATGTATATAAAGTCTAAAAAATAAGTAATTTGATTTGTAATGCATTTTTTAATATTCTTTACATTATGGTAAAGATTTAAAAATTCTTTTGGTCATTAATACTCACTTTTATATTTTCCCTTTTTTTTTAGAAATTTTTTAAAATAGCCCTTGGAAAATATAAAATGGGTTAAAATCTATTTTTTTCATTAATTTTCAACTTCATTTGAATGCGTTTTGTTTTAATCATTATTTATATGCTTTTCATATTTTAGTAGTTTGTTTTTGTATTTTTTTTTATTGTTTTTCAACACTGGACTTGCCCGGTTAGAGCGGTTGAATCGGCCAGTTTACCGGTTAGGCCGGTTATACCGCTTCCAGGCCCATGTCTGGTTAACCCTTCCGGTTCAATTTTGCTAGCACTGGTTGCTATACTTGTGCGCCCAATATTTTTTAGTAGCATTTTTTAGTAGCGGCATCTTATGTCATTTGTCAGTGGTAGATCAGGATGAAGTTTGCAGTAAATGATACGGGTATCCTCTTAGCCACATGGGCGGAATTAAATGGCTGAAAGCAACTAACATATACCCTTGTCATTTATTGTGAATTGTGAATCTGGTCTTCCTTTAACATATGATGTAAATAGTCCTTTGACAAAAATATTGGCGCTAAGAGGTAGAGCATTACCACATGCCCCCTCCCCCCCTCTCTCTCTCTCTTTCTCTCTCTCTCTCACACACACACACGCACAGACACACAAATCACGTTTAAGTTGTATAAAAGGAAAATTGTTTCATGTGAGCCGGACCGCATTTGTACATATACGGTCCAGAAAGTGTAAAGCATTTCTACAAGTGTTTCATCTAAAAGCAATGGAAAAACAGTTGAAATGTTTTCTTACTAGAATTATTATTTTAAGTTTTTAGAATTAATTTATTTTTTTATATTCATAATCTCCATGTTAGAGATTACATATCCTTAAAAATTAAGTCTTAAATCCATCTCAAAAATAGATTTATTAAGAGGCCCGCATTTCAACATATGCGAGCTTGGCCGCATAGAAACTGGATCTCCTATATAAAATGCAGCTGAGATTCAGAAATTTACATGCAACAAATTGACTCTGAACAGGCAAAATCTGATCGTAGCCGCTCTCTGGATTCTCGGGGCCGTTGACTCCTTTGCTTTGCATGGTTAGGAATTACATTTTGCTGTGGACGAATTGAGATCCAAGGTGGTTTTGGTTGACTGAAGACACCATGAAAAACAGATTATTGGCTTTTCTTATTGTTTTCATGTTAGAAAATATTGTGTTCTACGTAGTGGAACCTGGATTTTGGGCTCAAATAGTTGCAGTCCTGAACTTCCTAAGAAAAATTGGTAGCGCCTTATTTCGGGAAAAGGGAACTTTTTATTGTGGTTTATTGTTCTTTGGCTCTTGGTCTATTTTACTTCCATTCTAATAGGTATAGAAAAGGGCATCTATGTTCTGCAAATATCTGAAATAACCTACCATGAGAAATGTTTTTTGAAAATAGCTACACTTTTGTAGATAAACGTATGGAATATGTTTTGACTGTTTGATCAGATCATCTATCATGGAGGCCCAAACTACAGTCTGGTTGTGCAAACTTCACCATACTCAGCTACATGGTGTACTTTTCGTGCGAATATTTAAAATTCACAGATCCGGATCAGGAATGCCAATTCCTATAGGATTTATCCAGTGACTCAGCGGATTCTTTGTCAATATCGGGAGTCAGCCCAATGCTGAACTCTGAAACTTTTTTTTTTAGTACTCTTTTGTAACAAATTGAGACTGGTACGAGTCTGAGGTTTTGTTTTTTAAACAATTTGCTAAACAAACAAAGAAATCATTAAATGTCTTAAAGGTTTTGAGATTCTAAAAACTTGGTTTAAAAGTACTAGATCACTTTCGTACGAATCATTAGGAGGGTTTTTATTTTGAACATTATCACTTTCGTACGAGTCGTTAGGAGGGTTTTTATTTTGAACCTCTCATGCGCCAGGTTTTTTGTATGAATCGTTAGGAGGGTTTTTATTTTGAACCTCTCATGCGCCAGTTTTTTTTTATGCAAGCTTCTTTTCAAATTAAAAAAAAATTAATCAATTTGGAGTCGTTTGAATCATTGAGTCAAATCTTTTATTTAAGTTTTCAACAAAATGAAATCACGAACTTCAGCAATTTAGGTTTTTATTTGATTTTATGTTCCAGATGCTAAATTTTAAAGCATTCAAAATAGTTTTTGTTGAGAAATTAATTCTGCGTGTTTTGATTGTTTTCTGTCAGTCTCGGTTGTTTGCTTCTCTGTTATTTTTCATTATTCAACATTTTAAGATATTTTTGAAATTTTATGGCCAATTCCCACACCGGTATTAAAATACTGCTGTCTGGTGCGAGTCCTATTCGTGGGTGGAGAAAACACATTTTTTAGGAATGCATCTCCAATTTATTGGTCTGTACACTATTGTATGATTTCTCTTCCAAATTCGTTTCCAAGGAATGTCTCTCCCCATTATTAATGTATTTGGTACATTCTCTTATGGCTTCTTTTTGTGAGTATACGAGATATCCATGAATTGTCCGATCGGCTATGTTTAAATTTAAATATCCTTTTTTATTGAACTTTATTTAACTCTGGGGGTCGTCTATAGGATAGTTATAGGACCAGGAGATTATTTGAGACTATAATTTTAGAAATGGTGGTTTGTCTTTTTCCCCTTTTTTTTTTCTGCCTGATCGAGGCATGCATTTGAATTATTTATTTTTTAGTCTGGTCACCAGCTAAGTTCAACTCGATTTTGGAGATAGATAGTGCGGTTAAATTGGCCACTGAGAAGAAAAGCGATACGGTTCATAAGAATCTCCTTTACGTAAAATATGTGGGTGAAAAGACATAAATGCCCAATTTACTTTGATAACAATGAGGGCCTAGTTACCAATAAAGATAGAGCTCAGCTTTCTCATGATCAAATTCTAAATTTGGGTGAAATTCACTAGATTACCATTGAGGAGTGCTCTTAGAAAGTGTGACGAGCATGTTCAAGAATGATAGCGCACTTCCTATCCAATAACCACTAGTGCCTTGAAAATCTCACCTCCGGCTCGAACTGGTCACCCTCTGGTTCTACACAGGCTCAGAATTTTCCAATACAGGTGTTCTTGTACCAAAAGTATTACATAAAAAAGCCTATGAGAGCTTGGAAAAACTGCTGGGGTTTTAGACCCAAAAGTAATCCACCGGTTTTGGGTGGGCTTGGGTAGTTTCGAGTTGGCTCGGGAGTTTTTGAAGCACTGTAACATGCTACAATAGGTAGCAAGTTGATCCTGCAGATTAAATGGGTTACCCTCCCATGTTCATCCGTATTTGTGGTTGACAATGAGAAACATGAATTGGGCTCATTCTTATCGAAGAACTCTACAAGAGCAAAAGAAAAAAAAAAGGAAAAGGTTGCACTCATCCGTATTTACATAAGGTTGCAACTTTAAAATGTAAAACTAAGGTGCACCTCAAAAATCCATTACAAAAAGTTGTTTTGATATTGAAAAACCTTCTAATTGATCATCTTGACATCAAGATGTATGAATATGAAAAGAAAAAAAGATTTTGAGTCTTAAAAATAGTGCATTTTGCAACACATTATCTAGATTGTCCATTTTCAAGATTTTAAGTGTTCATAGGTCTATTTGATTTTAACCATTTTTGGAGTTTAAGATTTTATAATTAGAGATCAAAATAAATTCTCAAACCATCCTAAGAATTTTTTACACCAAAATTATATTTAGGAGAAAAAATTTGGAGGTGCGCCTTAATTGTTTAAGGTGGCAACCTTACACAAACCGTACCCAAAAGAAAAACCAAAAACTAATAGGACCATGCATCAACTATAGAAGCAACAACAAAAAAAAACAGGAGAAATGATTCATCAACCAACCAGTGTCCCTGAACATTTTAAAACTGAAATGTACAACAAACATCAATTCGCTCACCCACTTCTTCAAGTGACTTACGGTGTCCAATGAGCACATTTCTGGAACACTGGCAGATCTAGAAGCAGCATAGGCACGACATGGTCACAAATAAATCCTAAATAGAAAGGCTGCCAAACTGCTTATTCCAGTCCTCATAGCCTCCTAACTCATGTTGAGAAACAGAGGGTCTGACTTCTTGTAATGCCCTCTCAAAATCCTAAATGACAAAAAAACAAAGAAAATACACCACTCTTAAAAGTCTTAAAACAAAAAAGCTGATGTCCATTTTGACTCAAGCACCTGGGTGAAATTACCTGAAGCAGGACTGGCCTCATATCCTCCTTCCTCAAATTGGTAATCTCAATGCCTTGACATAGAGCCTCTCTAAGTGGACCCATAGATGCATCCTTAACCAAATTCTTCATATCCGATCCCGAATAGCCTAATAAAACCAAGAAACATGAAATGCAAACAATGGAATGGCTTCCTTTTTACCAGATATTTTCCATTAATGAACGTCTGTTTGTGTAATATCTAAATGTTTTTACTTCTTTTCCTTGATATTTAATATTAATGTTTCGCTTCTGAATTTTGCTAAATATGGTTAACAAACAGGAAGATACACTAAAAAGAGAAAAGGGAAAAAGGAAAAAAAGAAAAGATTCATAGATCTAAAGAAAACCTACCTTCAGTTAACCTGCAAATGGCATTTGTGTCTTCTTCCGAAAGCTTAAACAGGCCATCCTTCTCCAACAGATTTCGCACGATCCAGGCTCTAGCTTCTTCAATGCCAACACAAATATGTTTGTAACCTTGGTCATTTGAATACAAGTTGAGCAGAGGTTAATCCATCACTACCTGAAGGTGGTAGAGGTATGTACAGACGCTTTGAGAGTCTCCTTCGGGCTGCCTCATCAAGCTCCTGTGGCCTGTTTGTTGCTCCTATTTCAATGTAAAGACAATTATGTAAAGGAAAATTGTTTCATGCCGGCTGGACCGCATTTCTACAATATGCAGTCCGGAGGTATAAAGCATCCATCTTAAAGATGGACGCAAATAGGTGGTCCAGCTAAGATGGATGCAAATAGGTGGTCCAGCTAAAAACAATTGTAACTAACAGTCCCAAATATTTTCTTAATATACTTATTATTTCTAGTTTTCAAAATTGTTTTTTTTTTTTTGATATTCATGATCTCCATATTAAAGATTATATATTCTCTAAAAATTAGGATCAAATTATATTTAAAAAATATATTTATTGCCAAGCCTGCATTTCTACAATATGCAGGCTGGCCACATAGAGACCGCTTCCTTATGTAAACATGGATATAAATAATATGTACGTGTGTATGAGCATAAGAAATAGCGCTAGGCATGAACCAATGCATATGCATAGCTTATAGCTTCATCTGGTGATGGCCCTGGAATATTCTGCCAAACTCCTCTGATGAAACATAATAATATGCATTTCTACGATCCTCAATTGGTCATTTTGTTTTATGCATTGAGTTACAAAACCTTGATCCCGTACAACATTACAACATTATCTTTCTTGCTGGCAATGGAATCTCATCCAGTGGTAACTAAGAATGCAAAAGCGAGTACAAGAATAGCAGACACAAAGAGAGATATCAAGGACATTTAGGTCAAGGGAGTCAGCCCCAAATAGTTGGGAAAAGGCTGTGATGATGTTGATGATGATGATTTAGGTCAAGGGAGATATAGTAAAAGTACCAATACTAAGGTTTGACTTTGCCTGTTTCTTTTTCCAATCAATAAATATACTTTCATTGGAGGCCATGTCCACTAGAGAGATGTCATTCCAATGCGTGCTTTTAATGACACAGGTTACAAGAAATGAAGTATGATGATGACTTAGGTCAAGGGAGATACAGTAAACGGACCAGTACTATGGTTGGACTTTGCCTGTTTCTTTTTCCAATCAATAAATATACTTTCATTGGAGGCCATGTCCACTAGAATGAGTGCTTTTAATGACAGGTTGCAAGAAATAAAGTGGACAAGAAGAAAAGGCAAGGTTTAGAAGTCATGGAAAAGTTTGACTTGCATCATGTCAAGAAAAAGCATTGCAAAGTTCTCAGTGTGAAGTCTTCTCCAAAATACTAATCCAAATGCCAAAAGTTTTCAGGCCAGGCCAGCATCAGCAAAGCCCTTCAAAGCCAACCAATTCCAGGTCTTATTGCACAGTCACACTTGACTGTACTCAAAACTCATTTCACATACATTTATTAAGCATTAATTTCAGAATAGTTGTAAACATAGTCTGTCTACAGATAATATTCAGCAGACAAATGGAGGAAAAGTACTATGGTACCTATTTACAAGAACAAAAGAGACATACAGAATTGTGCAAACTATTGAGGGATCAAACTTATGAGTCGCACTATGAATATGTTGGAGAGAGTGACTGAGAAACGATTAAGGCATGAAACGAGCGTATCAAAAAACCAATTCAGTTGTATGCCAAGAAGGTCAACAACTGAGGCAATTTTCCAACTTAGGCAGCTGATTGAGAGGTTTAAGGAGAAGGGAATAGACATCCACATGGGCTTTATTGATCTAGAGAAGCTTATGATAGGGTACCTCGAGATTTGATTTGGTGGGTGTTGGAAAAGAAAGGAGTCTCAAGACACTACATCCAATTGGTAAGAGATATGTACAATGGAGAACTAACTAATATACGAACAACTAGTGGAGAGACGAGTGAGTTTTCAGTGACAATAGGTCCAAATCAAGGGTTAGCATTAAGCCCATACCTCTTTATCGTAGTTATGACGACTTAACTAGACACTTACAAGATGATGTACTGTGGTGGAAATTATTCGCAGGTCACATAGTGCTCATTGATGAGACTCAAAATAGCGTCAACACAAAGTTAGAACTTTGGAGGGACGCTCAAGAATCTAAAGGTTTTAAACTTAGACGGACTAAGATAGAGTATATAAAATGCAAGTTTAATATTAATAGTAGTAGAGACGAGGAAGCAGTTAAAATTGACGGTCATGAAATACCAAAAAGAGCGCATTTTCGATATCTTGGGTTGATAATCTAAGACAATGGAGAGATTGAGGAAGATGTCGCACATAAAATTAGAGTAGGTGGACGAAGTGGAGATGTGCAAACGGAATTTTATGTGATCGCTACATACCAATGAAGATGAAGGGCAAGTTCTATGAGACCAGTTTTGTTCTATGAAGCGAAATGTTGGGCGATCAAAAAACAACATACTCATAGAATGAATGTAGCGAAGAAGAAGATGTTAAGATGGATGAGTGGCAAGACAAAAAGGGACATAATTCGAAATGAATACATTCAGGAAAATTTAGGTGCGGCACTAACAAGCAATAAGATGAGAGAGTAGACTTGGTGGGCTGACCATGTGTGGCGCAGATCCAGCACAACACTTGTTAGAAGGTGCAAGATAGTTCAAGTAGAAGGCTCAAAAAAGGCAATGGGTAGGCTCAAAAGGACTTATGGCCTCACTAATAGTATAGTCTTTAATAGAGCAGAATGACGGACCAGGATTCTTAAGACGTTGGTAGCAACCTTAGAATTCTTGATAGGGCTCTTTCACCAACCCACATGCCTTATGTAAGCAAGTCTCAGGCCCTAATATAGAGAGAGTGACCGGCTATACACATTGACATGGGACAAATTACAACCAGAACATCATAAAGAGTTGAAATGCCCAAACAGTAGTTTGAGGTTTTCCAATAAAAGTAGCATCATTTGTTCAATCCCAAATTATGTTCCAAAGATATGCCAGCGTCGGTGGCTAACAGGCTGGACCAACTAATGAGGAACTTTCTGTGGTCCAGCCAAGCAGAAAAAACGAGACACCACGTTATCTCTTGGGATAGAGTCCGACTGCCCAAATCCCAAGGTGGTTTAGGAATCAGAGATCTAAGAAAACATAATCTGGCTCTGCTGGGGAAGTGGTGGTGGAGATTGGCCACCCAATCAAACTCTTTCTGGGCACAGGTTATTCGGAATAAATACAACATTCTGGGTCACAAATGGGTGCCTAAAAGGGTCTCCTGCACCAGGGCTTCAGGAGCTAATCCTTCGCCTCCTCTCCTGCTCAGTTCAAGCAAGACTTAGCTTCCATCCAAAACAAGGCAGTAGAGTGCGCTTTTGGTCTGATCTTTGGATTGGACATGCTCCCCTTAGGGACCTATTTCGCACCCTTTTTCAACTTTCTTCCAACAAAGAGTCCACTATAGCAGATGAAATGGTCTTGGCAAGGGGGCATAGAACTTGGAATCCTTCTTTTAGAAGGAATCTCTCCAAGGAGGAAACTTTAGCTTTCACCAACCTTTCGGCTGCTCTTCACCCGTTGTTCTTACCTTCATCAGGGAATGATTCTTTGGTATGGACTATATCCCCATCTGGTAAGTTCTCAGTAGCCTCTTTCTATAAGAAACTTATCCAACCTCCTACATTTCCGTTAAATCGCACCTCTCCTCCTTCCAAAGTTTGGAACACAATAGCTCCTCCAAAAGTCCAGACCTTCAATTGGATAGCAAGCTGTCAACAGGCTCTCACACTCGATCAGCTTCAAAAAAGTTTGCCACTCCCAAACAGATGTGCAATGTGCCTGATAGAGGAGTCAAATCCCCACCTCTTTCTTCATTGCAGTATGGCCTTTGAGCTTTGGACACTAATTCTCCACTTGTTTGGTCTCCATTGGGTCCTCCCACCTTCGGTTAAAGATTTATTCGTTTATTACTCAGGTGGTCATTGGCCCAAAGCAGGTAGAACCTGGTGGAGGGCAGCAATCGCTGCTACCATATGGGTTTTATGGCTAGAAAGAAATGAGAGGGTCTTTCAAGGACACAAAAATGATGTTTCAGCGCTATTTCATAAGGTTACATCCTTGTAACTTTTTGGGCTTCCACCCAAAGCATCTTTGGTGGGATTCCTATGAGTTCTTAAGAACATTATCCAATTCCAGCCCTTCAAGGTACAAAGACCTCACAACTGGTTGCCTCCTCCAGAAAATGCCATAAAGCTTAACTTCGATGGCTGTTCTTTGGGAAATCCGGGCCCTTCAGGAGTAAGGGGGGTTTTCCATGGCCACAATCGCAAAGTTCTCATGACATACTCAGAATATGTCGGACATGGAGACTCACAGTTTGCTGAAGCCTTGGCACTCCTAATGGGCCTAAAATTTTTTAATCCATCTTGGGGCCAATCCTTGGTGGTGGAAGGAGACGCTCAAAACATTTTATCATGGGCAGCAGGCACCAGTACCCCCCCCTTGGTACCTATCTAGGATATTTGACGAAATTTACCACTTATGCAGGGATACCAACGTCTGTTGGAGGCATATATGGCGAACGTCAAACGAGTTCGCTGACCTTCTGGCTAGAAACGGAGCACGGCGACGACCACACATGGAAGATAATGACTGGTCCATCTCCTTTTTTGCTCTGGACCACAGAGGTTGTCTAGGACAATAGATATTTTTTGCTGCTTCTTGTAATAGGGTGTGCTTTTAAGCCCATTTTTTTTAGACCTCAATCTTTCATATACAGCCACTTCAAAAGGATATATTTTGTATAGGGTCAGTGAACCGATTTTTTGATTGAGATACCTGTCTCGTGGGTATTCTCGGTCCTCTCCTCCCTCAATCTATGTATTCCTTCGTCTTTTAAAGTAATACAATGTTAACATTATCAAAAAAAAGATTGTTGACCACATTGCTGAAGAAGTTGCAAGGGATACTCCCACTAGTCATTATTGTCTGTGTGCTGAATTGCAGCAACTGACTTTCTAGTAATGACTAAGAAAGTGACCTAAAAGAGTAATACAGTAAACAGTGGGGTATTATGTACCGCATTCACAGTCCATTTCCAACAAAGTACAGTGGAGAGCAACCTTAGTAGCGACAAGACAACAAAGATATCTAGCACTACAGCATATATTTAATTAGGTAAAAGCCATTTCCAGCACTCGCTCTCATTAAAGGGGGGCATGTTCAACCCTGAATTGTCATGAAGAGCTGGTCCCAATATGCCTGTAGTCAATGGCAACTACATAAAGATTCCCAACAAATAATCAAACCTAGGAACTGGAGATCCATTTATCTTGTTCTTCAAACTTCTGTTTAAGTTCGACGAAAAATTAGCCAACAAAATTTGATGGCAAACATCTAGTAAGGAAGAAAGATTCATTGACAAAGAATGAAACCATGTAAAAGGAAAAGCTGGTAAGAATTTAACAGAAACATGACAAAAATGCGTTCTTTTCAGTTCAACGAGACAGAAGAATAAGCCATTCAGTTATAGCCATAAGAGACATCAAAAAAATTATCATGGCCCATGGATAATATCAACTGTAACTGTGAATAATTAGAACTACAGGATATAGATTTGTTTTCAGTACCTAAAAGTAAAATTTGTTCATTTCCGCTGTCAAAGCCTTCCATCTCAATTAAAAACTGAGTCTTAAGTCTTCTACTTGATTCATGCTCCCCTTCAGACTTACGCTGCATTCATGATGAATACACTAACTTCTGGGCATGATATGTCTTTGATCTTCAAAGTATAAGATCACTTCATTTTTCAGGATTTGCCAATTAGAGTGAACTCCAAGAAGCAGACATACCTGGGAAAGTAGTGAATCAATTTCGTCCACAAAGATGACAGCAGGCTGACGACAACAAGCAACACCAAATAGAGCTCTCACAAGCTTTTCACCCTCCCCAATCTACAGGCCATAAGCAAGAACCTCTAAGTAAGGATAAATCAGATATAATATTAAACAGGACAAATTTATTTAAACATCTTCATCACATCAACATGGCATTGAAGATTTTAGGTGCAAGCTGGCAACCTAAAATGGAATCCAATGTGAATCTACAGAAATCAAGCTTACAAAAGTAAATTATTTAATTCATGCTACCACTACTAGTCATGTGATCAAATCACATCCACTTTGTTTCAGCCAAAGAAGCCAAAGCCCTCAGCTTCAGACTACAAACTGAAGAGAGTCAGATTTAGCCTCAGCCAGCAGTTAGGCCTCTTAAATATTTCTCGGCCAAAAATATTTCTTTGTGTTCTTTCAATTTTCCTTTTCATTTTTCTTTTTGTCCCAGGAATTCCCCAAATTTGCTGAAGCACTGAAACACTCTCTTCCCCAGCCAAACCGAACCAAGTTGCAATGTAAACCTGAGAACACTGACCCCTAAATAACAAACAGGTTTACTATTAGTGTACAGTATTTAAAGGACGATGATGATAACATTGTGAAGTAGACTATGACAACTGTATTGTTTCAACACACCAATTCCCATTCATAATTTTTGACATTGATGGCAAATACAGTTTAAGTACCATCAGCATGCATCAACATAATGCCTCTTAATGATATTCAAATCAGAGACTTCTCCCATTTACAAACTGATGAAGAGTGGCGATGCTTCCAAATTTCAGGGGTGAGTGAAATGATAGTAGTCCGCAAGAAAGAAACACGAGTCACCCATGAAAACGTGAATGTGGAATGAATATAACGGAGTCGAGAATCGAGAATGGAGAGATGATCATCATCATCATAATTATCATCATCATTAGTGCGAGTCAAAGTTTTTATGCGTGTTTGAGTCTACACAAATATGGATTGCAAACTAGTTTGCTCCCAGGTTGAGAAAACGCTCTTGAGTCATTAAATAATATTTCTTGATGTGTTCAAAATAAAATTATTAAAACATAAAATTAAATTTTTATTAAAGTGGTCATGGGGACCTCGCAAAAGACTCATGGCCTCCCTTGAGTGTAAAAATATTCACCAAGTCAAAACTAGTCTTTCCATTCTAGTATTTTGTTTATAAAAAAAAATCAGCAAGTAGTCCAGGCAAATCAACTCAGGCAAGTCCAAAATATCCCACTCAAGCTTCTCAAATATTACTGCATGCATAACCAATCCATTAAAGTAAAGATAAGCAAGTATGATACTTATCATTGATGCTAACACTTAATCGCATGTTATAAGGAGCAGCTTTTTGTTTATTGTCATAATTATGTTATAAGGAGCAACTCGAGAGAAGATTCCTTGGACTTAATAAATCTCCCCAATGTAGCAAATTAACCACCTGAAAAAAAAATAACAAGGTAGGCTTGCACAACTTCAGCATATGATGTATCCATGCCCATGCATGAGACAGGAGCCTTGCTTCAATCAAGGTTTTAAAAAACGGATTGGTGACCCAAATTGTCCATATGAAAAATCCGGTCGAATCGAAGGTTCAGATTTGAGAATCGACCGGAATAGGCATTAAAAACTTAAAAAAATCACTAAAAACCCCTAAAACATATTGCTTTTGAAGTTTCCAAAAAATGGGGGTAGTGCATTATGTGTTTTCATTATTTTGCAAAAATACGAGAAAATTGAAATGTCATTTCTTGTCTTAGTGTCTATTGATATTAATTTTGATACTATTTTTATACTAATTTTGACACAATACTTTTAAAAAAATATACTTATTTTGTGATTCTCAGTGAAGAAATGAAGGACAAAATGATTTTTGTAATTTTTCATACTAATTTTGTGATTCTCATTGTCATTTTTGCGTGCGATTTTTCTCTCACACACAATGGATATCTCCCTCTCTCTCTCTCTCTCTTATAAACACATACACAAACACATGAAAAAACATTAGACCCCTCTTTCTCTCACACACACAAACATATTTGACCGCTCTTTCTCTCTCGCTTCCACTTCGGTTGAGGCCTCATTTATTTTCTTGATTTAAATTAAAAAATATTGGAGAGTTAATCCATTCCTCCACTTGTTCTACTTTAATTACTTTAAAATTTTCTTATTTTCCTAAGTTTCATAGGTAGAAGGGATAATTTCTTAAGTCGAGTGGTTTCACTATTAATTAGAGCCACAAGCTCTAAGTGTTAAGCTAAAAAAAGAATCTGTAATGGTTGCCTACTTTTTTTTCTAAGTTTTTTTAATAATTAAACTTGGATACATGTAAGGAGCCGTCACTTGGTGTGACGGTAAAAAGCTCGGATAGCCAGCGCAAGAGCGTGGGTTCCAGTCCTGGGAGCGGCCAGCCAGCCACTTTGTGCATAAGCCAAAGGTTATGATTGTTTCCAGCCCACCCCTCCCGGGACCTTGCTTAATCAGGACCAGCCCTGGGTTATGGCCCTTTAAACTTGGATACATATAGTCAGATAAACAATAAAAAATGGCGGTACAAGTTTTAAATAGTCATAGGTTGAAGACTAATCAACCTAAATAGAAATTTAGTTATTTTAAAATTGCAAAATATAATTATGATTATAAGGTTACTATAAACTTTTTACAATGGAAAAGAACTGGATTTTTGCCACATGCAAATCGTATGAGTGCTTATTAGGTATGGCAAATAAAGAGAGAAGGAAAAAGCGTGAGTGAAACCATTTTGTTACTATATTTTTATTTCTATATGGCAAAGGGGAAAGCTTCATAATAGAAGCACGAAGGAAACTTTGTTTTTACTTATCCCACATCAGGGAATTTTGAAGAGCAATAAGGGCAACAAGCTTATAAAAGGAGGCATGCTTAAACCATGAGTTGGAAGCAGCCTCGTGGCTGCGTAAAGGGCCACCTGACCACCCCAAACTAAAAAATATTGAAAATTTTGAGTGACAAGATCAAAAATAAAAAATAAAATTAGAAGCATGTTAAGTCATGGGGGAAACGGCCGGTTCTCAATATTTGATGAGAACTGGATCGTTCCAACTGATAAGAACCTGATCGCTCCGATCGATTCTTGATCCGGATTGGCCGGTTCTAATCTGGATTATTGATTTTTCAAACACTAATGTGGGCTGCTACTAAATCCCATAATTTATAAGGGACGTTTTTCTCACACATTTATTTTCCTTGAATTTATTATTTCAGGACAAGAAATAAATTTCACATTCTGACAGATTTCTCCATATGACCATGGAGACGCACTAGTATGCCACAATGCCGCACCAAAAATATCAATAAATTACCACAAAATGGTTGCTGGCTGCATTATCAATTATGGATTGCAATAGAATTAATTCTTTCATTCTTTTGGTTTTAAATAAAGATACTTCTTATAGTTTAACATGATGCTATAGGTCTGCAAACTTTGATGCTCAATATCATTAGAGAAAGCTTGTAATTCATGAACTTTTTCTGCAAGAAGTTATTGTATTATGCAACAGGGACATATTGATAAAAAGGAAACATACCCACTTGCTCGTTAATGAACTGGCAGATATGTAGAAAAAGGTTGCTTTAGCCTCTCCAGCAATAGCCTTTCCAATCATAGTTTTACCTGTTCCCTAGAAAAAGATGGTCCTTCAATGAGAACACGAACTAACGAACTGAGAAATTCTTTAATCTGCAAGATTACTTACAGGAGGGCCAAAGAGAAGCAGGCCTCTTCCCGGTGAGCGACAGCCTTTAAATATATCAGGACGTAACAAAGGCCAGATAACCATTTCAGTCACACATTTTTTTGCATGCTCTAGGCCAGCTTCACAAGAGAAAAAATTAGAAGCAGAATCATAACTTGTTTGCTGAAATAATTAATTAAAAAATTTCTTAGAAAGCAAGTACGACAAAGGTTAAAGCATCTAAGGTCCCCTTACCAATATCACCCCATCGAACATTGGGGTCTCGATCCATTATCTCATTACTAACATGTTCAATTAATCGAGGTTCCAAGTTTCTCAACTTTTCTGGAAGCTCGCCATCAGGACCACATAGCATTTCCAAACTGAAATCAGAAACTATAGGTTGTTAAAACATCACTACTACATCACTACTACACTACCTTCAAACAAAATGTCAAAATAACATAATTTATTATCATTCCATCTACATATTTATGATCAAACAAGCATTCATTGAATCATCAGCAAAAATGAGTCAGGCATAGGCTTCCAGAAATAACTGGTACAAACAAAAAGGCTGGCACCATAAAGGACATTATGGGATCCACGAGGCCTAACCCCGGAGGAAAGGGGAAGATGCACAGACTACCAAATAAAACAGTACTAGCCTCATTTTAAGTTGCTAACATCCATCCTAAAGTGTGTTAAAGAAACTAAAGATTAAGGAAAATGGAACAGATACAATATCACTGCAAAATGCCCAATTCATGCTCCATCCTAAACACATGAGGAACATAAATTTTTAGGAAGTGAAATTCCATAAACATCATCAGCACCTAGGGATAGATATAGTATACTTCCCCTCAAGGGGAAGCCAAGAGAAATAATTTAGTAAAGCAGTCAGAACTTCCTGTAATTAGCATCTTCCATTTTCAAGATTAAAGAAAATTTTCACAAAGATTGCAGCTTTCCAAAATTTCATGTGGTAGGCCATTATAAGAATTCCAAGGAAATCAAAGAATCCGTACCTGATAAAGAAGATGACAGTAGGGCAGCTTTAAACACTTGTTAGAAAAATTGATGACAAAAACTGATAAATTATACTTGAACAGAGTCCAAAGTTCCCATCACAGACAATAACAAGATACTCCTACGTATTTCAGGAGAATGCTATAAACTAGGTCATTAGTTCACGTAGCACGAGTACTACTTATCAAAGAAAATGCAAATATAATTTTGTTTGGAGCATAAAGAATGGAGCAGGTAAATGATGCTTGTAGATTGAAGTTAGGAACGAAATCAATAACCAAGTTATAGATTAACTAAAAAAGCATTTTACATTTAGAAACATGTAATGCAACTCAAATCAGTCCTCAAACCAGTTATACAGAACTAACCATCTCCTTGTGGACTCTTCAAGTGCATCATCTGTTTTCCCTGTAACTCGTGAACCTGTCGTACCTCCAGTGTTTGCCCCATTGGATCTCACAGGAGGAACAAAGTTGCTGCGTATGCCACGGCGAGGAATTCCAACAGATCTTAAACCTGGATTCCTGATATTCCCTGTTGAATTATTGTCACTTTGCTGACCAAACCCGGAGGATGGGGAGAGGGAAGCACTTGGTGAACATGTCAGGCCTTGTTTCTGCCTCGCATCCATCTCCTGCATTACAGAAAACAAATGGCTCATCCTCCCATTGCTAAGGATGAACAATGTAAGATGATATTTAAAATGAAGTATATGTATAATTAAAATAAAAAATAGAGTAATGATCCTGTGAGACCCTCCCACACCCATGTGTTTAGGACCCCAAAGGATCACTATTAAATTTGGCACAGATCTCTAGAAAAGTTATCACATGGGTGTGGGACTTGACTTTTTTAGAGAACTGTGCTAAATTTAATGGTGATCCTTTGGGGTCCTACTCACATGGATGTGAGAGGGTCTCATAGTATCGTTACTCTAAAAAATATTATACATTAAAATGAAAAATATATAAATATTTTTCAGAGAATTACGATTATTTTTCTCCCAGAAAAAAACACAAGATAAAAATCTTAAGAATTCAGGGAACACAATTTTAGAAGAACAGGAACAGGATATTCAAGCAATCAGGAACATATGAAGAGGGAGTCTGTTCAGCTGCTTCAGCAGGTTGGTTCTACTCATGAGTAAGGAAACACAATTCCCATGACGAAACACCATTTCTTCGAATGTGGGATTTCTCCATAAATAAGATCCTACATCCCGACCTCCTTGAAGCACAATTCTACTCTGTTTCTTTTCATCATGTGCATGTCCCATCCAGAAAGCTCCAGAAGTTTCACATTTGATGGTTTCTAACTGGTTGAACCTAGTCAAGTGACTTTCAAAACTGAAATTTCAAAAACTTCCTGGAAAGGTCACAGATATTCCGGGCTAAAACTGCGCTAAAATAACATCTTATTCTAGACATACACAGATGTACAAGGTTATGTAGCAATAAGACTCTTTTGTGGTAGTTTCTTCTGTTCTTTTCTTTGTTTTTTTTTTTCTTTTTATTTTTTCTGAAACATGCATTTCAAATACAACATGAAATTATTGTGTAGCCCATGACAATGATTTCTTTCAAAAAGAGATACCTAATTCAACAATTCAACTAGGTCAGATTGTCCATTTTCAAAGAATAGAAATATATCCAACTGTGATCTCCTAGATAATAATGGTGACCAGTCATTTTGAAACCTGGGCCTAATTCTCTAACTTCATATTTGAAATTGAGGAAGATCGATCCAATTGAAAGCTTATGTGGTTCTATCAAAGTGGATAACTTCCATGATCTCCGACAGGAAAACTTTGGTAAAAATATTGTTTCAAGGCTCAAGCCATAGATATTTTCACATCCTGAGCACACATTGGGCTCGTAATCTCCGGGAGTCAAATTTACATTGGACTTTCAAAATCTGAAAGGGGCATCTATGGCTTTTATTTAGATAGAAGTGGAGTCAACTTGGATATCCTTTTTTATCACATGTTTACTAAAATCACTAGCAAAACAAATTCTTGAGCAAAATAAAGAATTCTGGACTTACAGTTGGTTTGAACTCTAATAACTTAGTTGTGTTCTAGCCTGAGAGTTAAAGGATAGGGTATCACCCTCTTAATAATACAAGCCAGATATCCAAAGACATGCAAAACACTAAGGTCATTGAATTTTCATTCTAAAAAAATTAATAAAAATATTTGAAAATAACTGCCGATTAAAAGAAAATGAAAATTGAAGTAAATTAGTAATCAATATCATCCAATTTCAAGTTGCAAGGCACACCAAATTACTCAAATTTTTTCTCATGGATCTCTTTATAGATCTTGATCATTCTGTACTAATGTTTAAGTTGTTAAGACAATCCACATCATTTTCTATAGTGCTGAAATACATTTAAAACTAAACCAATTTGATCAATCAAATAGGGTTCCTACCAGATCATCCTAGGCAATCATGAAATATCATGTTAGGTAAGCTTTTGTTCAACAAATTGTCTAAGTCAGTCACCAGTACAATCCTATGATGACTTAACCAAAACCTACTCATTTTAGAAGGTAGGAAAGGCCTTGACAAAATACATAAAGATGATAAAACACCAGAACACTTCCAAAGGATTTCACAAGATCAGAATACGTAGCGATCCTTCATAAGATTCACAACTCGATCAGGTGGCACTTAATTTGACAAATCCCACTTATAATAAGGCCCATCAAGTAAGAAAACAAGAAGAAACACTTAATGAAAGCCATAAAGAACAAACCAAGGAAGAAAAAAAAACAACACCAGTGTAGTTTAAAAGAAATCTCATCTCTGAAAGTTCTAAAGCACAGCTAGCAGAAAACTTGAAATGCTGTAAAAGGGCAAAAAGTAGTGCCAAGCACAAAATTTCTCTCTTATGATGATTGTGATACACACAAACTACAGAAATAAGGGGTGCCTTCTATGTTGTGCTGCACATGACATTTGAAACAAAGCAATTAAATTTAGTTTAAGAAATGCATTTTTCCTAATGCTTGACCTGAAATTGCAAAGTAGATGACAATAAGGATAGCAATATGGACAGACAAAAGCAGTAAAATCCAATGCAAAATATTAATGCCTTTGGATAGAACTTTATTCAAAGAAATGCAATGGTTCCTAAACATTTGAACTGAAATTTCAAAACAGATGCCAATAAGGATAACAATATGGCCATAGAAGTTACCAATTTCACTCTAGCAGTCACGAATCCATTGGAAATATTATCATCATTGGCGTTGTCATTGCTTGACGGAGACCCTGTGGTGTCATACACATGACGACGTTTTGTCCTTAGAACATTCTCATGAGATTTATCTTCTTCAGCTTGCACAAAGGAAGGGGAGGCATGACCTTTCATATGGTTCAGTCGATTTGAGTTCAGTTTTTCAGCACTAGATTCATCTGAGTTGTTGCTTTCAGAGTTCATAAGTGCCTTGAAAGAAGTGCCGGTTGGCTTCAGACTCCTATTGGTGTATAATGATGTCAATTTGGCTTGAGTCAAAACTTTTGAACTCTTCACACTTACATCATTATCTTGTTTATCCCTTGGCTCTGTTTGAGTTAATGTGTCTCCCTTTAACATGGAGGGCTTGGAAATCTGAGCAAGCACAACACATCCAACCTTATTATGATTGTACCCCATAAATCAAACCTCCCTGAGCACAAAAATGCTGGATACAAACAAAGGAAGTTCTTTTTGAGTAATATAAACGTCGAAAGTTCCAATTATGTAGTTGGTTACACTAAGAACAAGAAAAACAAAACAAAAGAACGCCTACGTTTCAATTAAATAATTAGTGTTGAATTTGGCTCACGTATTAGGAAAAACGAAAAAGAATGAAAGTTCCACCTCCATAGTTGATTGCATTAAACAACAAAAACAGAACACTTATATTTGAAGTTGAACTAGTGTTGAATTTCACTTATGCATTACAGAAAACAAAAAAGAATGTAAGGTGTTTATTTTTTTTGAAGAAATGTTAGCTTAAAATGTAAGTTTTTTGTTTTTTAAGAAATGTTGACTTGAATGTAAGATGTTCATTCATACCGAAGAATCACTAGTAGCAGTTCTGGATTCACAAAGTAGAGGTTGAAAATACTTGGACTCCTTGATCTTATCCATATCCACATCCCCCCTCTTGACAAATATGCAGCCTTCTTTCCTTCTTGCTTGCTCAAATGCCTGGCTGAATAAGGAGAATTCCAAATTATGACTCATTACCCAGAGGAACCAGAAAGAGGAGAGTAGGGACAAATTTGAGGTGAAACCATGTAACCGCTATCTTATGTGCCTCAAGGTGCCTACTAATTGTGTTTGAGTAGATTATTCGTAAGTCACACCATAAACAAATATTTGGAAAGTAGACAGGGAACTGTTGCAAAACCAAGATGACTAAATGCAATCCAATTCAGCTAGAAGGAACAATCCCATTCACCAAAACGATGATTTTGTCAAGACAAGTAGAAATTAGTTCCAATCACAAGATGACGTTTAGGAAAAGAAACTATTCCAAGTACAATTCTTGCCTTTAAGAATATTGCATAGACAACAAATGATCGACAGCATGATTTGCTTACTTTTAAATGGAAAAGTAATAATACAGCCAAGAAAAGATGGAAATTCCCACTTTGCATGTCAAAAATCACTTCTTACAAAAAATGAAGAATTTGGCGGAGAAGAGAATTTTCACCTTGCTTTCTTATATAGAATTTAAATTTCGAGAGATTTGAAATATCTTAATCTCGAATCCAATTCAAAAGAGGCAATATTAAAAGAGAACAACTACACTTTTAATATGTATTGATCCAAAAAATGCTAATAAAGTAACAAGGACCATGGTTAATGCGTAATTCTACAGAGCATGCAATAAACAAACCAACCAATAAATTAAATTAATTCCCATTATAAGTTTTGTACACAAAAATCTTTGCTTTTTCTTCTGATAAGTGATTACTAGTTATCAAACCAGACAAAGTTGTGTGCTTCATTATTTCTGTTAGACAGATTCTTCTATAACGTTTTCAAATTAAAACCCGGAGAAACAAAATAAATCCCTCATTTTGACTAAACATGAGCCATAAAACTTGTAGCACTTGCCCCAATCACCATTTCAGTTCAATGTACCACGAGAGAGAGAGAGAGAGAGAGAGAGAGAGAGAGAGAGAGAAGTTGCATAAAAAGGCATGGAAAAGCCTACCGATCAGAGTCTGGTGCAAGGGATCGGCGAGCATAGGTGATCTTTGATAAGACTTGGCGACGAATGGGATAGACCAAGGCTTCATCGATGGGGTTTTGGGACCGAGAGTCGAGAAAACCGAGAAGTTGAAGGCCTAGGAGAAGGGAGGTTGAGGGATTGCCTCTTTCTATGGTTATGTCAGTACCAAATAGCAGAGAGTGAAGCCTTTGGAGATTTTCGTCGACATCTCTCCTCCATTTGCCATCGCTGCTCTCCATTTTCCCTATGCATGAGAGAGAGAGATGAGAGGTTCTGATTGAGAGAGAGATGAGGAGAGAGAAAGAAGGCCAATAGTTGAGACTCAACTAAGAGAGAGGAGTGAGAAAGAGAGGGCAATGGTTTCGCAGGGCAGGCAGGTGCAATTGGCGAGTTTTCCGCCACTCCCTCTAATTCTGAAGTCATCGTTTGAGCTTTGGAGGACGAAAACACCCCTGCTCTTTGAAGAATATTTCTACTTGCGTCACAGACTTCTTATATTCGCACCCATGTTTTACAGCTTTCTTTAGGGCTGCAGCCCTATCGAACAAAATAAAGCCTCATCTCGAATCCTCATTTGGAAATTACTTTCGACAAAAGAAATATCCATGATAGCTCTAAAATCAATTTTCAATACAAACAATAAAATTAAAAATTAAAAAAATGGAACAGATCTTACGAATTTGTGAACATTTATTTTTAGGGCGAAATGGATGGTCAATAATTTGTTATAATATACACTATTGTTAGAGTTTGAAATCATAAATTTTTTTTACAACCATAACTTTCAAATGATGTAAAAGTTTTCCAACGCTTGAATTGTAATTTTGGATGAGTTATGAAGTGAGGCTGTACTTAATTTGATATAAACGCTTATATAGAGCCGAGGCTCTAAACAACCTAATTAGAGCGCACATCAAAAATTTCATTAGAAAATGTTGTTTTGATGCGCAAATATCCTTAAATTGATCATCTCGACATCAAGATGCATAAACATGAGAAAAAACTAGATTTGTTCATACCAATTGATGCCAATGTATTTTTTCAAACCAATTAGTTATAAATAGGTGTGAAAATATTCTCACTGACAATTTTTTCATGTAAAAATACTTTCTTAAAAATATTTTCATGCATACCAAACATCCAAAATTTCTTAATTGTTTATCTATCTCACTAATGATGGAAGATGTATGAGAGAATGAGAACCCGCAAAATAACATTCAATCCCATTCACAAGGAACCCAATCAAGAAGATCAAAAAATAACTATGTAATTTTATATTATTCGGAAAGTAATGGGCAAAACCACCCTGAGTATCACAGCAGTTGGTGATGATTGGCACCAGGTACAATAGAAGAAGGATTTTAACTCTTTAATGCTGCACAGTTACATGTATATTAATCAAAGAATAGAATTGTTCCTTACAGAGCAATCCAGGGAGACGATGTACAATCTGAAGATCATTTCCCTTAAAACTAATACAACCAACTACTCTCTCTCTCTCTCTCTCTCTCTCTCTCTCTCTCATTAGCAACAGAGATGTTCCATAAGCCAAAGTCACCTCCCCTAAAATATCATGACCTAAGACTTGGATAGAAAGATGTTTTCACAACTCAAGATCATCTCTTCTCCCACCAATCTGGGATTTTCAGCCTCCTACTTCTGTGCACCGCAAGCTTAGCAGCAGGCAGCTTGTGCCTAACCTGCTTCCATATCATGTTCACCGCGTCATCTCTCTTGGGTGGAAACTGAAACTCAAAGTGGTGAGAAATTTCCTTCAATCTCCTCCACATTTCAACCCATTTCTCTCTCTTAATCTGCCTAAGCTCTTTCAACATATAGCCAGGCCTCAGGGCTTCTTCAACTGAGAAGAAGAGAGAGAAAGTACGGTAATCGATTTCATCCTCATAGGGTAGCTCAATCCGGTCGCTTACAATGACGGGTATACAGTGGCTAACAATGGCATCGAAGAGGCGGCAAGAGGAGGGGGTGTCTCCAGCAGGGTTAAGACAGAACTTCGATGAACGCATCCCTAGTGAGGACTGTAGCAACAGCAGCAGAGAGAAAAAATGAGCCTCCCATATAGCGCCAAAAACAAAAAGAAGAAAAAAGAAAAAGAAAAAAGAAGGATCTTGACGATAACATGCCACTGATCAACAAAGCATGATCACTTATACCGGATATTTTCTGCTTGAAATTGCTAATGTGTGTCAAATGAATGGAGAGAGCGAGAGAGAGAGAGACAGAGAGAGAGAGATAGGGGGGGAAGATAAAAAGAGATGGTGACTGCAGATGGACAGTGAACACACACATGGTGCATTTTAGTGCATTTCAAATTTTAGCTTCAAATTTTAGCAATGTCAATGGTAAAAATTTAAGGCCTCTGCTTCTACAAAACTGCACAATTTCCTCAATAATCTTGTTTATTCTGTTTTATAATCTGGCAAGGATAGTTCTCTTTTATTAAAGGGATTCCTCGACTTGGTACATGGCAAGTTTTCACAAGTTTATGTGAAAACTTTTCGGATTCTTCTTGAGATCAAAGTAGGATATAATATCTCAATAGACATGGCAGCAGATTGTTACAGTCCTGCATATTAAGAGGCATACAATCATAGATATTGAGGCATGCAATCATAGATACATATGCATGTGCATCCATGTCTCTTTGCAAATGTCTTCCATGCACATACACATGTAGACATATGATCGATGCATACACATGTAGATGCCCGATTTCAGTTTTTCTTTTTCTAATGCAAATATCTTCCATGCGCATACATTTAAAATACGACCAATGCATACACATGTAGATGCCTTGTTTCAGTTTTTGTTTTTTTGTGTATGAATATTTCTACAGGCAACCATCACAATTATAGTTGCTATTTCTGTGTGAAACACGACATCTCACTAAAAGAGTAGGCATGCGTCCACCCTTTCAAGGTGAGTATCATTTGGTATGTTTGGTAACTGAGAAAGCTGTTTTCCTGAAGAATCTCTGAGAAACTAGAAGCCTGAAAAGTAGAAAACTCTTGGCTGGAAGTTGAGAACCCTTGTTTGGTGACCTATCAGTGAAAACCAGAGAAAGTGCTTGGGCAAATAGAGATTGAGAGGAGAGAGATCATGAGGTTAGAGAAATAAAAAGGGACAAGGTGGTTTCGTATTTCCCCATTTCCCTGAGAAATCGGAATCACACCCCTTAGGGTGAGCTATAGTTTCCCCAAAAATGTGGAAAAGTGTGGAAACGTGGGGAAATGCAGGGCTTCAGATTTCCACGCTTTTCCCATTCCCAAACAGGGGAAAATGTGGTAACTGAGAGACAGGTCATTTCTATTGTTTTCTCAGTTACCAAACAGCTTTGTGGTCTTGTTTGTCCTTAAGAAAAAATTTGATGGGAATATATAATGAGAACCAATTGACTATTGTATCATACCAAGTCCATTGGAGTCATCAACATCCAATCAAATGATGGAGAGAGCATGGAACCCACCAGAACTAGACATAACCCCATGATCAGTCCCACTCTCCATTAACGCACATCATTTCATAGGACATTGATGACCCCCAATGGACAATGACCATATCATAGTCAATTGGACCATGGTAAATTCTGGGTGATGTTGACATTCAGCAATCACTAAACTTCCTCCTTTGTCCTCTCAAGAAGTGATGATGACAAAATAAAAGAACGGCATCCCACATGACTAATACCATTACTGACCAAATGAAAGCATCCCATATGACACAAAGAAGCCACAACATACCGCTTTTATGCTCTCCCCTGTTGCAACACTTTCTTCAAAGTGCACACCTTCCTGACCCCTTAAAATTTTGGCCAGCTTTGAACGTACAATCCCTTCCTGCACAGTAAGGACACTCCTTCACTCAACAAGAAAATATCTGGATCACAGGGGCCTTAAATTGCATATAAAGTATAAACAAACATACAGCTTTTCTGACTGTTCTTCCTCGAAAAAACAGAAGTGTTGTCCTAGATTCAAATGGATCAGATGAGTCATCATCAATGAACGAATCCCCGACATGCACATAAGGGGCTACCACATCTTTGCTGAGAGAGGATATGTTCTTTGGACAGCGCCCAAAATCTGCAACAACAAGAATAGATGCATTCACCTTTTCTCGAAGAAATCTGAAAGCGTTCGGGTGGTGCATGGGAATTACATGGTCACGGCCTCCAGACTGCTCCCAAAATTTGGATATCCTCAAAAATTCCAGCAATTCAATCTAGCGTCATGTAATAACATATTAAGATTTGGATGATTCATCATTAATTTATAGATAAATTCACAACGATTGGTTTATTAGTAATAAATCAGTAACCAAATGAAATAGAAAAGCAGTTTGAAAATGAAAATTCAATTCTACATAATTCAACTATAAAAGTATCATCTGCAGATCATCGGTTTTCTCTGCCTGTGACTTTCCGAATAATCCAAAAGAGAACAAAATAGACAAAGGAACAAAATGAAGAACCACACATCTAAGCAATCCCAAGTTCATATCTACTCTTGATTCTCGTATGCAGCACTCTAGCTAAGCTCTGGCAATAAAAAGATTGTGCATAGCGATAATAAACAAATGTGCCAATCTATTTGTTACATGTTTGCAACAATTTTCTCAAATTCATTCCCCAAATAACCATCAAAGCCATTTGATTATGAATTTCTTTGCTTTCCTTTAGTTTGTGATGTCCATAAGGATTCACGGACGAGCATTAAGTTTTACTGCTCATATGCATTTGAGCAGTAAAGCCATTAGGTCTCACTGATAAGCATTAACTTTTTACTGCTCATCTCATAGAAATATATAGAAAATAAAATGGTCAAAACCATCTGGACATGTATCTCAACACCAGATGTCTTCTGATGAGAGTAGATTGTGACAATTATCATATAAAATAATTATCATTAGCAAGTTCATTAACTCTGTCTGTCAGAGCCAATACAAAATTGGTAATGCTGATCCCAAGCTTGGAGAAAGGAGGAGAGTTCTGTTAGGTTGACAGCCAGCATAAATTTTTTTGCCACATTTATTCATTAACTGACCCAAATAGTTGTGATAAGGATCAATGATGGGATGATGATGATCAATAACAAGTTCATTAGTGACTTTAAAACCAAGTTCCACATTAGTCAGAAATACATTCAAACAACTCCAACACGAGGAGCTTTAGCTTCTAATAAGCTATTCCCTCTTACTCTCTTTCTTATTTGAGGGACACAGGTTTAGATAGAAGACAAGACAGGCCCATTGGAGATCCTGTTTTCCTTTACTTTCTTAAGAGCAAAGCTTCTCACATATTCCATGCGCTTCTCAATAGCATTTTTTTTGCATACTGTTCAAAACTTTGACCGCCTAGGTGGCCAGGAGGCCTCACCGAACCGAATTGATCTAGGCAGGCTGCCTAGGTACTGAGTTACCTAGTTGCCACCCTAGGCGATGCCTCGAGCCCCTTGGGGTGAGGGCGGAAAGATTCCCTCCTGCCAAGGACAATTTATGGTATTTACCCCCCGCATTACCCCCCCCCCAAGAAAAAAACAAAAAAAGGTTTTCGCTGTTTCAGAGTGAAAATAAAAATATAAAAATTTCAAGATTTTTGAGATTTTATGAAGATTAAATTTTTTTTCGAACTTTTAGATTCCTTGCAAAATCAAAGAGCATTTAGCCAACAGTCCTCAATTCAAGCCAAGATTATCTTGCATTTAGGCTACGAGCATCTATTAATCTTTTATAATTTTAGAATTTTAGTAATTCGATTTCAGTTTTAGATCTAGTTGACCTAGACGTTCAACAAGATTTTAATAACAAAGGAAATGCTAGAGGGATGGAAAAAAAGTATTGTGGTACCTATTGACAAGAATAAAGGAGACATATAGAGTTGTATGAACTATCAAGGGATCAAACTTATGAGTCACACTAAAGTTGTAGGAGAAAGTAAGTGTGCAATGGCTGCAACATGAAACAAGTCTACCAGATAATCAGTTTGGTTTTATGACAAGGAGATCAACCATTGAGTCTATTTTCTTACTTAGGCAATTGATTGAGAAGTTTAGGAAGAAGAGAAAAGACCTCCACATGGTCTTTATTGATCTAAAGAAAGCATACGATAGGGTACCGAGAGAGTTAATTTGGTGGGCATTGAAAAAGAAATGAGTCTCTAAAGGATATTGATATGATAAGGTATATGTACAAGGGACGCGAACTAGTGCGAGGACAACTAATGGAGAGAGAAGTGAGTTTTCAATGATAGTAGGCATACATCAGGGATCAACGTTAAGTTCGTAATTTTTTGCTTTGGTTATGGACAAGTTAACTAGGCATCAACAGGATGGGGTACTGCGGTGTATGTTATTTGCGGATAACCAGTGTGGTCGCCTATGCGTTTTGGGGGTCTGGCTGCCTACGCAAGCGCCCAGGAACAAGGACAGATAGAGACTATTCACATATAAATTATAATATAATTATTATTATTAATTAATATCAATAAGATTTGCTTTCGGATATCAAATATTCACAAAATATCAATTTCATCAAAAGTTTATGACTATTCACAAAATATAAGTCCAAATCAGTAAAAGTTCCATCTAAAAATATGAAGAAATACCAAAAAAGTAAAACAAAACTAATAGGATATCAAAACATCACACATTGTACAAAATAAGAACCAATTATTTATAAAACAATTCGATATATGACCAATTTCATCGTCTAAATGAGTTAATAATCCATTAATTACAAAAAAAATCAATCTTTCAACTACAAACATGTAAATATATCATAAAAGGGAAAAAACTAAAAAAAAAAAAAAAAAAAATTTCAAAATATAATACGTTATAGCAAAAAAAATCAAAAACCCTTATTCAAATATCATAATGGCATAATGCTCTAAAAATATCAAAATGAAAACGATGTCAACCCACCTCTTCCATTCGATCGCCAAAAGTCCTCACTCTTGACCACTAGAAGCTTTGAAAACTACCACGAAGTATTGCCTTTGATTTTGGAAGAAATCGAAAAAATCGAAAATTTATCAATCTTTCAATAAATCATAAAATAGAAGTTTTTAGGGAGTTTTTCTATCTCTAGATGGCACGGATTTGGTTCTGAGGGTTTAGAATGTCCCTCCAAAACTCTTTTCCCCCCTTCTTGGCCCCGGGGGGGGGGGGGAGGAATTACTATGTTGACCATAGCTGAGGGCATTTTTCCGCCCTCAAGAACCTGCATCAAGGCGACCACCTTAACTATAGTGCCTAGGCGGCGCCTTGCCTGCCTAGGTGCCCCACCTAGGTTCTGCCTAGGCGTTTTTGGCGATTGGCTGCCTAGACGACGTCAATGCAATGTTTGGATTTTGGAGGGATTTTCTAGAATTTAAAGGTTTTAAAATTCAAAAGATTTTGGAGGGATTCTATAAATTCAAACATTGCAGATAACAAAGTTTGGATTGATGAGACTAGAGACGATGTCAATGCAAGGTTTGAATTTTGGAGGGATTCTCTAGAATTTAAAAGTTTTAAAATTAGTCGGACTAAGACAAAATACTATGAAACGCAAGCTTAGCATTTATAGGAGTAGAATGATAAATTATTTAAAATTGATGGCAAAAAGTACCTAAAATAAAATTTTTTTTGATATCTTAGGACGATAATCCATGAGAATGAATAGATTGAGGAAGATGTCATGCTTAGAATTAGAACTGGGTGGACGAAGTGCAAATGTGCTTTTGGAGTCTTATGTGATCGTCACACACCAATGAATCTGAAGAGGAAGTTCTATATGATAAATATAAGACCAGCCATGCTTTATGAGACAAAATGTTGAGCAGTCAAGAAATGACATATCCATGAAATGAGTGTAGCTGAGATGAGGATGTTAAGATGGATGAGTGGAAAGACAAGAAACGATAGAATTTGGAATGCATACATTTGAGGGAACTTAAGGGTATCTCCAATAGACGATAAGATGAGGAGAAATAGACCTAAGTGATCTGGCCATGTACAACGTCAACACAGAACAAGACCTGCTAGGAAGGGTAATTTGGTTCAAGTGGAAGGCTCTAAGAGGGCAAGAGAAAGGCCCAAACGGATATGGACGGAAGTAGAGAGAAGATATGGAGACCTCTGTCTAACTGAGGTTACGACCCTTGATAGAGTGGAATGGCGGAACACGATTCTGTTGCCGACCCCGAATAGTCAGGTTAAGGCTCGGATGATGATGATGCTATATGCACGATGTTTTAGGTACTTATATAAATTTTTTATTTGTATTTTTGAAAAGTATGATTTTTAATATCAATTTGTGGGGTTTGGTTTCCAAACGAATCCCTCAAACACTTGGGGCCTAGAACTGCCGCCTTCCTTGATGGGCTACCTAGGGAACTAGAAGCCCACCCAGCAGCCTAGACCTCTGGCCATCTAGGCACCAAAATCCATGTTTTACAATACTGCTTTTAAAAATCCTAGTTATTGTTGATTGTTTAATTCCTCATTTAAGTAAGTGTTTTATGAAATTTTGCTGATTCACTTTACAATTACCACTTTGTTTTATAAAATTTTGCTGCTTTATCTTTACAGAGTTTATGGTCTATTTGCCACATCAAACCCAACAACTTTTGCAAAACATGTAATCGCATCTCACTCCGCATTCAATCATCAACCAAACACTTCTCAAAATTTACAGCTTGCCCACTTAAATATAAAGAGTAAATAAAGACAGCCATAAGTATGATTATGGCGACATCAGAATCCACTCCACCACAACTATTACTCTTCTTTTACAAGAATCCCAACCACTGGAATACAAAATTACAAAGTCCATTCCCACCAAATCACTGATGAGTTAACTATGTGTAAATAAATCTGATTTAAAGTTCAAAGCGTAGAACTGGCAATTTCCCACAAAAGAAAAATAAAATTCATATTTTTAATAATTCTGACAAACATCATAAGTTCATAACTCATAGTTCTCCTCAACTCATCATTCCATGACTATACTCAAAGGCCAACTGAAACTAACAATAACATATCAAAAACAGCACTACTGATGATAATAATAAAAAGAAGCATAAAAGCAAATAGAAGTCAAATTTCCAGAAACTCAGAATTATGTAAAATTATATCATGAAATGTCCAGTAATTCAGAAATCTGCATGAGTGTAGATAGAAGATAGATAGATAGAGAGAGAGAGAGAGAGAGAGAGAGAAAATTGCACCTGCAACTGCCTATCGACCTCAGTCTCAGGGTCAGTCATGTTGTGCCCATGTGTGTTGAAACTGAGTGAGGAAAAGAATGGAACAAAGAAAGCATCTGCTTCTTCTGGATCAGAAACCCTTATTGCCTCCATATCTCTCCCTTCTCCATCTTCATAAAGGAGTGAAGCCATCATCCAGTACTCAACACTGTGCTGCTTCTTTAAACCAGAGTTTTGTGGCCATGGTGGTATTTGACCAGTGAATGGCAGGTCCTGGTGCGGATCAGACCGTCTTAGCATTCCTATGTTAAAGTGACGAGGTAGATTATACATGTAAATTTTCAATGGAGAATTACTGGGGGCTATGATAGTTGGCGCAAAGAACTGAGATCTGAGATCAAGGGAACCAAGAGATAGGTAAATAAACACCATTAAAAGTACACAGAAGGAGAGTAACAGACCCTTGGCCAACATTTTAGATGTTCCAGAGAGGCTCCACTCCGGATTTCAGGACTAATATAGGCTTTCAGGGAGTCTGTTTTCGAGAATTTGATAAAATTGAAAAGAGAAGCGGGTCATCAGCCGCCATGGTTAGGGATTAAGAGAAACTTTGCGACTCAACTTTCAAAAATGCTCCATTACGTAATTTTCGGAAGAGATCAGTAGAAAAACGGCCATGCCATTTCTAGGGTTTCTGAGAAGTCCTGTTACAATTATTAGTTTCCTTCTGGTTTAAATAAACACTGTTAAGATCATGAAAGATCAGATGTACCTGGTTTCCTAGAAAACACTGTTAAGATCATGAAAGATCAGATGTACCTGGTTTCCTAGAGAGCAATTAAAGGGCGGGGGGCGGGGGGCGGGGGGTGGGGGGGCGGGGCGGGGGGCCGGAGCGGGGGGGCGGGGGGGGGAGCGTGGTGGGCCTTTGCGTATGAGTGTTCACTGAGGATTGAAGGATTGCGTATAAGTGTTCATTGAGGATTGAAGGATTGAAGAAAACGAAGTGCAAGGATTCAATGCAACCGTTGTACGATAGTACAAACACTTCTAAAAAATCTCTAAGTACCTCAAATTTTGCCACGCACTCTTGCATCTCAATAATTAACTCTTAAAATAAAATAAATAAAAATAAAAATTTCGATTTGAACTTAAAAATGGTCAAATGAATTTTTCTAAAAACAAACTTAGGCTATTTATTTCATGAATTTCAATATATTAGTTTTTATAAATTTAAAATCATTTTTTTTTATATTATTTATCTAACGATAATAAAACCATCAAAGGAATAAAAAATAAAAAAACTTTTTAAAACCTAAATCTATATCTCTGACCAAAATCAGCTGCTTATATTAATTGGGCTAAAAAAAATCTTTTTAAATTATATTTTTAATTTTTTTTTATTTATTAAAATAAAAAAATATTTTAAAATTTAAATTAAATAAACGTCTTTTAACGTTGTTACATCATATTAGTATACAACAACAGTTGCCTTACTCGGAAACGAAAGGGACAAGGACTATAGAATACACTCCTCTTTTACCTTGACCCAGATTTGTGGGGATACTTTCACTGTTTCATTTGCGCTTTTTATTGAGAGAGAACGTGTGCAAGTGAGCTCCATCCTTGCGTTCTGCTTTTAAATTGAAAGGGTCAAAAACGTTCATCTCATTATCAGGAAGTAGGGCTGAGAATTTATCTGATCTGAAAACCTGAAACTCAGATCTATTCGGATTTGGGTTTGGATCGATTGAGTAGTAATTTGTGTCGGATTCGGGTACGTGGATCTGATCCAAATCTGACCTGATTTTTTTAAATAATATATCTTATCTCATATATATATATATACACATGTGTGTTATAATTTATATATGAAAAATTGTTTTATGCGAATTCAATCGCTTTTCTACATATGTGGTCCAGAAGTATAAAGCATCCATCTAAAAGATGGATACAAATATGGGAAAAAGTTTATATAGAGCCGAGGCTCTCAACAATCAAATTAGAGCTCACCTCAAAAATTTCACTGGCGGATGTTGTTTTGATACCCATATATCCTCAAATTGATCATCTCGACATCAAGATGCATGGACATGAGAAAAAAAAAAAAGGATTTCAAATTTTGGAAATAGTACAATCTAGTAACGCATATTTGGACTATTAATTTTCAAGATTTTCATTGATTTTCTCGATCTACACTATTTTTGAAGCTTTAAATTTCATAATTATAGATGAAAATATAATTTAAGTCTATCACAAAGTTTTCTTGTATTGAAACCACTTTTCTTGATACTATTTGAAGGTGCGCTTTACTTTGATTGTTTAGAACCTCGGCTCTATACAAACCTCACCCCCACAAATATGTGCTTCATCCAAAAACAATTGAAACTAACCGTCCAAATGTTTTCTTAATAAAATTATTATTTCTAGTTTTTAAAAATTTATTTCTTTTTTCATATTCATGATCTCCATGTTAGATATTACATATCTTTAAAAATTAAGCCCAAAAACCCATCTCAAAAATAGATTTATTAAGGGGCCCACTTTTTTACATGTGGGGGCTTGGTCCACATGCTAACCGCATCCTTTATATATTTATTAATTTACATATATTTATATAATATATAATTATTTTAATTTTTATAATTATATTTTAACTTTATAATATAAAAAACTGGAATTGATCCGGATCTGCATTCGGATTCAGATCCTAAATAATTTTTGATCTAGATCCCGATTCAAAAATTTTGGATCCGATTGGATCCTGACCTGATCTGAAAAATTCTCGACCCTACCAATACGGGTGGCAACGGGCCAACCTTGGGCCAAGCCCAACCTTGGCCGTAGTGTTGGGTTGGGCCAAGCCGTTCTAGGCTGAGCCAAACAAATGGAGAAGGATAACAATAAACAAAAAAAAAAAGGCGGAGACATAGTACGTCCCTTGGCCCACAATTTGTGGCCCAAGCTCTTCTTTTTAGGGCCGGGGCAGATGGACCCACTACTAGCCCGAATTAATACTGTCATGAGAGGTTTCCTTGCCATATCGTGGTCCCACTTCTACTGGATTGGACGCGGATGATCTACATGACCCATAAAACTCCAGAGTCAAAGGACCAAGTCTTAATTTTTTATAATAAAAAGCACTATGACATGTCTAACAAAGAGTAGACGTACAATGCACTCCATGCTTTGGTGCTCGACAACTATGAATTCTGGCTAAGAAAACGTTCAACGATTCAAATTACCAAATTATACTATGAATTTAATGATAGTGTGTTGTATCAATCTATCTTATTAAGTCACAATTAAGGGAGGATACATGCTTTAAGATAAAATGGGATCTAACCCTGAGATAATGTAAATAGGACCCGTATTAGAACGTGGGTTGATTATTTTTTTTTGCTTTCTCATTTCTTTAAGAATTAATTGAATTGCGCGTAGGGCTTGTTCTTCCTAGGATTTCATTTCTTGGGGCATGTTCTTTCTCAATTTTTTTCTTGATTTAGAGTCGTAGAGAAGTAGGGTTTTAGATAAGGAAAAAGCTTATATAAGGATGCTACCTTGTAATGTAGCACTATTGATGCCCCTCAAAAATCCATCGGAAAAGGTCGTTTTAATGCTGAAAAACCTTTTGATTGATCATTTCGAACTATGAAAAATAAAAAGATTTTAAGTCTCAGAAATAATGCATTTTACAACATATTATCT